GCTGCCGCCATTGTCCGTGGTGGGGCTGGTTGGGGTTCCCGCTCTTGGTCTCAGCGCACGTCGAGAGGCGCGTGGGGAAACACTCGGAAGCCCTCGCGAGGGGGCAGGGGGCGGCGGAAAGTAAAAGCTCGACTCGAGCTTTAGAGGCACCTGGTTTTAGCCAGCCTTTGGTGTTGCTCTTGATGTCCCAGCGTGCCCCCTTCCCCCCCGCCCAGTGCAAGGCTTGGCCGGGATGAGCAGCAGAGATATGTTTTAGCCCCGGAAAAATACCTTGTAGGTTTTAGGGCTGCAATAAAAAGAATCCACTTCTCTTTAAAAGTGAGAAATTCTGTGTGCCTTTGCTGAGGCACTTGCAGTGCTGCTAGATGAAGGCACTGGGTAGCTCAACTGCCCGCACGTTCACTCTGCCTGTTTTTCCATCCATTGCTTTGGAGAGGAGCCAAATGAAAAAAAGTACAAGGCAAAAATCTGTGCTTACTTCAATATGAGCTTTATTTCTGAGGTATCTTATCAGTTCTTGTCCGTTTTCTTTATATCAGCGGAAACTCAGAATACAGCCCATACAGCCCAGCTGCTTTGTGCAGGTCGTGAGTATGCTTCACTGCTGTTAGTTTCTCAGAGGCTGGGACACAGCTGGCACGTGTCCACCCCACCCTTAGTTTGCTTTATATCCATCTCAGTTTAAATATGCTGAGGAACACCATAATTGCCCACCAGGAATAGAGGATTGCATCTAAATGCTCCTGTTAATGCTCATTTCTGCTAAATGTTTTTTATTACCAAGGCAGTCCTTGAGCTGCAGGGTGATTTACACAGGCATCAGTTATGCAATCTGTTTCTGAGGGCGCTGGAGTACGATGAAACAAAGTAGTTGGTTGGAGTCCTGAGCTGATTTAAAATGCACTACTGAAATGGCTAACAGAACAAACTCCTCCGAGTATTTTTGGTCTTATGAATATTACTGGGATTATATAGACCCAATTCCGGTAGATGGAAGGAAGTTGAAGGTTAATAAATGTAAGTATTGCAGAGTGGTAGGTGCTGATCTACCCCAGGAAAATGTTGCATATTCTCTCTGAGTTTGTTTTCTTTGTAATAGATGCTATGCTGGTTTATATGTATGTGGTTTGTATGGGTAAGTGCCTTCCAAACTGCCTTAACCGATGTTTGAGTAGCAATTTCTACTAACACTGAAGCTCTTTGGTTTATTTTACAGTATTTCAGACTGTAAGATTGCTGACATTAATTCCTATTTAGAGGATAGGTTTCTTTTTAACCATTTGCTAAGGGGAAATCTACTGACAGGCAAATCAGTAGTTTGCGGGCTGGTTATCTGCATGCTGCCATCAGAGGAGATGACGGAGCGAACAGATCTGATCCGCAGATTACAGTGTTTTCCTCTGGGAACACAAGGCTTATGCCAAAACTGATTTAAACACATTTTGGGCTTCGATAAAGGAATGACTTTATGCTTTCACCAGCGAGGAATAACAAAATGAAAACATACACTTCTACTTTTCTTCCTTTGGGCTTTTATTTGGCATCCATCTCTAAGTAATCCTATTGATTTTTGTACTACAACAAAAAATAACCTGAGAAAAGCTATGATTTAGCGCTTCTGAAGTGTAAGACAACCTAATCGTATACATTACTGTCAAAATGCATTATGGAAGCAACTCTGCTGATCCTAAAGGTTTATTTTCAGTGGATGTGAAATAATGTTCACCAAATGCAGCCGAGTTAATAGCGCACGTGATTGGTAATTCCGTTGTGTGCCTGGTTTTACACAACAAGCTATGTCTTTTTATGCTTACTCATCAGGGAAAGCTTTGGCTTTGATAAGATAAAATGGCAGCTCATGTGACAAGGGATTAGCCTAAGCACAGGTACCTGGGCATCCCCTTTCTGCGCTGGCTCCAAACTTAGGAGCCTATGGTAACATGCTGCAGAAAAAGTGGTGTAACGATTCGCCTTTGATGTGTAAAGTCTGCTTCTGAATTCTGACTAGAGCAATCTCTGGTGCTATTGGGAGCAGGCAGGTTTGAAGTAGCTTTGCACTGCTTCTCTGTTTGTCTCCATTTTAAAGATGCCTGGGCAGATAATTGCCCCAAAGCCCACGAGGGGAACCCTGAACTGCCCAGTTAAACCACTTGGCTTCGCACAAGCTGCACTCAGGAATCTGACCTTGCCCTTTTTTCCCATTAGTAGCGCCTTTCTGACATTTGCGTTCCCTCATATCTAATGGGTGGAGTTTGTGGTAAAGCATTTCTCTCCATGGCCATTAATAGGATATTTCTCTCTACCAGCTGTCTTTTCTGACTTTTTTTTTTCAGCTTGTAGAAATTATGTTTTCATGAGATGATTTTCTCTCTCTGTTAAATTTAATTGAAATTTGCTAGTAGTTCCATGCAGGGAATTCCCGCATGCACACAGTGATCTCATAAGCCTTGTTTCCCTAAGAAAGAAGAATAAACTAGTCTCCTATTGATTTTTTTCTGTATTTCCTCTTGCTTCTTCCCTAAAGGAGGAAAGAAGTCTGCCTTCTTTCAGACCTTTTTATATTTCAGAGAGGTGGCTTATGTGATCACACTTTGTGTTTACGCATCTGATTTGCTTCTCCAGCAACTCTAGCTTGTTTATCTGCTAGCGAAGGAGCAGGAGCCTCAAAGGTACAAAATCTCCACCAGTTCTTTGCCCCCAGTGGCTGGATGGAGGAGGAAGAGCAGAGACCTTTGCTGACAAAAAGGCTGGAGGATGAGAACATCCCGTTAGACACCAAAGAAACTGCCTTTGGGGTCAGTTTTGGGAAACAAATCTGCAGGAAGCAGCTTCTGTGCTTCAGCTGCTCATCTCCCAGGCAAACAGCAACTACAAAGATGCGAGAGTAGAGTTCAGTATGTATATTTTTTTTTCCCCTCAGCAGGGTAATGTTATGGCAATCTGCATTCCCTTGGGCTGCAGTTTATGTAACATATTTCTAGGCAGCTTGTTAAAACAAGAGTTCTGCTCCATGATTTATGTCTTTAGAAATTCTCAGCTAAAAATGTTGAGTTTGGTTTTCTGATAATCAGGGAAATGAAACTGGGGGTTTTTGTATGTTTTTGTTGTTTTTGTTTTCATATAAAAAAGACGTTTTTTTCCATGTCAGCAATCTAGGAGGAATGGAGGCTGCGTCATCTTAGTACATTTATTCTTTCTTCTCCAAATACCGATGGGAGAATAGAGATTTCGAGTTATAAGGAAAACACCAAGAGAATTATTTCCATAGCTGGTTAGTTTGTTTGTTTGCTTTAAATACAAAGACTACCCAGGCAACGGATTTACTTTGTAGATTTTCCTGTATTTACATAAAATGTATATTCCCGTACTTTCATAAGGCACTGCTATTGTCTCCTTGTGCTTGGAACTGTGTAAACAACGTAGGTTCAGCAAGTCCTTGCCCTGTGTGCACTGAAGATGAAACGTGATAATTTCCCGTCAGATAGGGGCTTAGATAGCCACAAACATTCCTGGTTTGGCAAAATGTTTATCTCCTGTGGTAAAACTTGATGTTGCAGCGAGCCTCTGCAGGGCGAGTGCAAAGGGGCTTCAGCTTTTGCTTTGGTTCATTGCTGGCTCAGCCCAAATAAATCACATGTTGTCAGAAAACCCTGGGATGCAATTAGAGCTCCCTAATTCAACTTCTTCCTGATTTTTTTGTTTTGTTTTGTTTAATGTTAAAACAGAGACCGAAATCTCTGCACTTTCTTTATGTGGCCTGTTTCTGAAATGTGGTAAGAATCTGTTCTTATCATGAAAATGAATCTAAATCTGACTGCAAAGTTACAGTCTTGCTTTGCATTAACAGCGTTGTGCAGCTCCATCCATTTTCTATAAAAATAATAAAAAGCTAGGTTGGGCCATGAGCTAATAGGCTATTTAATAGAACATATGTACATGCACACACACTCACAAAATGTGTCTATAAAATTCAGCAATAGAAGAAAGTTTTTTATATAGAGAGATTGTTAAAATGCATTATTATCCCAATTAAATATATATATATATTAATTGTAAGACCTTAAAAATACCCAGGGAGTTTCTGTTTATCCCTCAAGAATTCAGACTTCTCCTGAGAACTGGATTAGCTTCTGTGAATCCTATGAATTATATTAAAGCTCCTCTCAAAATGTAAACCAAAATGACTTTGGTGGGGAATATATATAAAGATGCAGACTCTTCCATCCTGTCTGTATGGCTTTGAGCACTGTAAAACTTGGAGCTTTTCAGATTATCCTTGGATCATATATATATATATTTTTCCTTACAGAAGCCCTCTAATCCTTCCTTGAGGACCCAGGGCTGACCAGCAGGCGCTAGTCCCTTTTTCCCATAATAATTCTGTGATGGGTGAGTCAGAACAGTGACTTCCATGCTAATTTATCATCCTCTGCATTGAAGCTCAGTAAAACTTCGTTTAACAGAGGCAGAATAAAATAAGCTGATTTTCCAGTAGTCAGTCTGCATGCTCCTGTTGCTCCAGAGCCCATCCAAAAGAGCTTTCTGATAAGACTCCCACTGGGTCAGTTCTAGTTTTCGGTTTAAAAGGAACTAGAGGAATTCCCCTTCATCTCTTTGTGGCTCAAATGACAACACGTTCTGAACTTCTTCACAAAGAAATACCTAATCAAACATATTGGACGTGTTTCAAAGAACACTGGTGGTTTTTTGTCCTTTGAGATAGAAGATTTATTTTCTCTTAGTCAATATTTGTCTCTGGAGTCAATGACCCTTCTTTTTCACCTCAGTCGAAGTGAGTATCTGATTATGAATCCCAGTGTTTCTCAGCTTACGTCCTGCCTCACACCCAGTCTTTTAAGGCCTTCACTGGGAAGCACATCAGTATCTGCATCCTGGGAAGCAGGAGTGTTGATGCAACTGGGGCAGGAAAAGTGCTTCAAGAGTAGATTTTCCTCCTTAAAAGCATCATCAGATGACTCCTAGAGTCCATGAGTGGTTGTGGTTACTCACCTGAGAGCGGGGTTTGGCTCATAGGCTGAGCGGTAGCATTTCAGTCTTCCTAATTACTGCATTGCTCACCCAGTGCCTTGTGACTTTGAGAGAGGAACTGTGTTAACTACAAAGAAATTCTGAAACCCATCCTAAATGCCCTATATCACCTTTTGAGTGTACAGATGGTGCCTGTTACTGTCACACCTGCTGGATCTCTTTGTTCCGAAATCTCCCTCCCAACCCTGGCCGTGCACGGTTACCATGAGCTGCTATGATTCTGCTTAATGGCTTGGTGCTCAGATTCCTACCTCTCAAGAGTTTAGTTGAATGAATTAAATGACATACATAGTTCTTAGAGATCTCTAGATATATGAGCGTGCTTTATGTTTCCTGTGTTACCAGTAACAGAATTATTGTGTTGTGCTCACAGATACTATCGTCATAGCCTTTTGGGTTGGGCTTGCTGCATTTGTGATGTTTCTCTTCCTTATTTTGCTTTATATGTCCCGCTCCGGATCGACACCAATAAAGTAAGTACCTCCAGGGATAAAGTAAGTATAGATGAGCATTTTAAAATGGTCTGCATGGAGTGTTCATTCCCTGCTTCAGGTGATCCAGTGATTACATGCAGCATTCGTAAGAGAACAGAGATGATACTGTTTATTTTACTATTTAACTTGAATGCCTCTCAGTCCACTGCCATTCATTGCTTGTATCAATCAGCTGGATAAAATATAAATTCATAACTGCTGAGATTTGCCGATCATGGAAAGACAGGGAAAGTGCCAAGCCCAGGGGCTGTCAGAGCAATCTGCACTGTCCTGTATGCCGGGGGCAGACAACTTGCTTTTTAATTCCAGCAGCTTTTGAGGTTGCATATTATGGAACTAAGATGGAATAGGGGAGTACAGCTTGTAAATCACTTTTAAGAAGGAGGGGGAATTATGGTGGTGCGATAGATGAACGTGAGCTCCCAGAGCTGTTCTGTAGTCCTTGATCAATTTAAGATCTGGTGATCTTGAATCTAGTGAGATTACAAAGGTAGTATTATGTGTGGCATTTCTTAGACCACTCAAAAATATTATGCTTAGCTGAGGATGCCCACCTTAAAAGGAGTTTAGAAGAAACTGAGAAGAATAGGGAAGCACATTTTACAGCAAGAAAAATAAATTAATTAGTTTCTCAAGGAGGAGTGATTCAAAAATTCTCATTATGAGCTATTTTTACCTTTAGATCTCTGCCATTCAATTCAAGAGTACCATTAAAACACAGGGTAAAGTATCATCCATTTTAAGATGTAATGATGGGAAACTAATGCTACTCACATTCAGATCAGAGGTATCACCTATTTTAAGTGAGGGTAACAAATAAATGGAATGATTTAAAGTTGTATATTAAATGGATTACGACAAAGTCTTTGTTACTCGATACCTCAACATCTATACCACATGTAGATGATCCCAGAAATCCAAAGTGACATGGTAGCGTCAACTGGCCATTTTTACAGCTCGGCTTGGCAAAACAGTGAAACACCCTCCCAGGCAGAAAGGTGGAGCACATCGTGTATTTGAGCAGCTTGTTTCCACCTGCGATCTCCGTGACGGAAAAGGCCGGCTGCGTAAACACCTCGCTGTGACAGGGATGTCCCCAGTCTTCCAGGAGATGCCAGACCCTGTCCTGTGAAGAGTGAGGCAGGTGCTGATTTTAGAGCAGCTGCGGTGGAGGCACTGGCCAAGAAGATGGTGCCCACGGCGTAGAGCACCCACTCGGGGAGCAGGAACGTACATCGAACCCAGCCTGTGATTTTGAACTTTGTTAAGGACAGACTTCTGTTTGCAGCTTTCTACATTCAGTCTACTTTGTTTGCTGCTAGTTTCTTTGGCAAATAACTTCTGTGCAAACAAGGATGGATTTGCCTGCTGCTTCTCCTAGTCTGAGCAGGATGCAGAGAAATCAGCTCAGCAAATTAGGCAAGGGTTCAAGATTAGGTCACAAACAAGTAGAGGCAAATGAGAATAATATGGCAGGAAAAGGGAGCACTAATAGTCTTATTTGTTGGCACCCTAAGGCCTCTGGCATGCTAACAAAAGGTAACAACAACAATAAAAAGCAACTTGCCCAAATATACCACAAAGCAGGAGGGAAGCTAATAATGCCAGAAATACATGAAAAAGGACATACAATTACAGGGTAACAGGCGCAAGTTCCCATTAATTTACTGTGCATAAAGAACTGGCAGGAGAAGCATATACATGGAAAAATCTCAATGTTTGAAAGACTTCAAAAGATTAAATGTTAAGGTTCTTTTTTGTTTTTCTGTCACGTTTCTGAGTGGAGTCCTTGTCTTCAAAATGTGCATATTCATTCCCAATATTATGTCCAATCTCACCCGTCAAAAGAGCTGCGGTGACCGAGGCAAATCTCGAGATGTTTTGTGAAAAAGCCCAGGAACTGCTAATAGAAAGTGGCACTGAATGACGTGTGTTTAGGGTTTGAAATCGTTCTGCCTGTCATTATGCTAGGCTTGAAACATGCTGTTAGAAAGAAATTTTAGGATTGAAAAGACTACCAAGCCCTTAAAAATGGCTCTCTCTGATTGAATTCCATTTACTTTTTATTTTTCTGCTCTAATTTGACTTCTCCCACTTTGAGAAATAAGGTGGGTTGCCTGAAATAAATTCTTCTGGTTCACTCCCACCACCTTCCCCACTATCTCCTTTTTATGTAATCCTTTCATTATTAGTGGCATGGAGTTTACCTAATTCCTCTTTTGAATTCTCCTTCTTTTACCCCGTCATAATTCCAGTACCTTCACCCAACAAACATACAAAACACGTCACTGGTCAAGGCTGGAGAACTTTTACCTTCGCCGATCCTGTGCTCATCCATCTCTCTGTGGAGCTGGGCTCAGCGCACGTTGCAGCCTGCTCATCTGCCCGCTGAAACCAGAGCTCTTCCAAGTGCGGCGGTTTCGCAAGAGCCGAGCTTCTTGCTGCAGCTCCTCCGCAGTCGGCTGTCGAGCATTCCCGCTCTCCACGTGTCAGCTGGCTTTACTGCCAGCCGGGTCTCTGTGGGTCCCCTGAAGATAACGGTTTTGGCCTTGTATAACACGCAGTGATTACATCTCCTCCACCACTGTGCACATCAAGGTCTCGCTATTTGGGCAAGGCCATGACATCTACCCTGGTAGAGTCCGATTTTTTTTAGAGAATCACAGAAACACAGAACAGTTGAGGTTGGAAGGGACCTCTGGAGATCATCTAGTCCAACCCCCCTGCCTAGAGCATGTGGCACAGGGTGGCATCCAGGCAGATTTGGAAGATCTCCAGAGAAAGAGACTCCACAGCCTCTCTGGGCAGCCTGTTCCAGTGCTAGCTGCAGCTCTGTGTCCATACAGAAAAGAAGTCAGCATCAAACTTCCCCAAATGCCATATGCCACATCTGGATGTGCGTATGCTGCAGCATAATTCCTAAACTCAGACTTACCCAGACCTGAATCCGTGATCTGATTGCTGATCAATCTTCGCTGCCCTGCAAAGTTATTTGGTGCCAAATGAGATGAGGAAGGTCGAGGGGAGAAGGCTGATGCCTGCAAGAAGGTTGCAGCAAGCAATCCAAGTGCTGGTCCTTTTGGTCACTCTTATGAAATTATTACAGAAAGAAAGAAAAAATGTTTTGGAGAGCAGGGCCAATTAGTTCATCCTCATTATCACAACAAAAAGTGGTTGATTACCAGGGTTAGTGGCTGAAGGCCGTTCCTGCTGCAAGCTAAAACTTCCTGCCACGGGGGCCAACAATGTTCCTTTCTAGACCTCCCAAATGGAGGTTCTCGCTGGAGGCTGTGCCTTCCTGATAGCCATGACTGAGACTGCTGTGGAGCCCTCCAAAATCTAGCAATCACTTGCCTGCCAGGCATTATATTAAAAAGAAGTCAGCTACTCAGTTGGAAAGTCTGCAATTCTCAACCCTTATCCACATTTCTTGCTGCCATAATAGCCTCAGAGAAGGAATCAGTCAAATGACTTCTGGACTCCTTGGTAGCATGAGCCGTTCTGACTTCAGAAAGCTTTCTGGCAAGAGGAAAACTGATCCTATGTTTAGATATTTCTTCTCCCTACTACCATCGAATTATGCCCAATATTTCTGGGGTGTATAGTAACGTGTGGTTTCAGGATAACACTTGGCAGAGCTGGAGGTGTGCGACTTGGCTTTAGAAGACCTGTTGTGCAGTGAGCCATCTTCCCAGTTTGCGGGTGAGAGTTTCCTTCATGGACAGACTGCACAATGTCCATGTGCTCTTTCAATTTTCTGCCTCCATCCAGGTGAACTGCAACAGCTGCTTCTTTCTTGGAACTGAGGAACTCGTTTGGGATATTTGACAGCTCAGGGTTTTTGATCCCTAGGAAAACAACAACAACAACAAAATCTATCACAATATCGTAGCTCTCACATGACAGCAGATAGTCTTCAGAGGGATTTTTTTGGTGGTGCTTCCTTTTGGTTTATCTTCTACAACTCTACACAAAAGCAGTTAATTGGATACTCAAGGCATGTGTTTCTCTTCCCCCAGATGCCAGTAAGAAGTGTCAGCTCTCTTTACTTGGGCATGCTACCTTGTCTTTGGGGAGAGGAGGCCCTGGGTAGCAGTGTAGTAAGGAGACCACCATGAGAGGTACTTCCCTGAGGAAGCAGACCATGTTCTCAGACAGCTCTTCTTGTTCCCTGCTTTCTCCAGCATTCTCTATCGCAGTAGACTATTTCCTGGAATGAAAGTAATTTGTCTCTATAAGTTAAGATATAGTAAACTGTGGTCTCTACCAGCTACCTCCCACTAGTGGTGATCATGGATTCTTACACTCACATATCTTGAAATTCTTGAAGGGGAAGGCTAAATAACCTGGAAGAAACCCAGCTTCCCAGAGGGATTTAAATCTGAAGCTCAGGAAGGGCACTCAGAGGACCAGTGACTGAGCTCTGCGTGGCTTGACTGCAGAGAACACAGCAATATCCCAGATGTTGGAGGAGTCTGAGACAGATAAGTCTTTACAGCTCGTGTCCCATGTGCAGTGTTCCTGGGACATCCCCGTTTCTCCCCTGTATGATTTCTGAGTTTAATCTCAAACAACAAGTAATAGATTTTGCTCTTCTCAAGACTTGATTTCAAGGGAGAAAGCTGTCTTTCACACCTCCGTCATTAGGAGAACTTTTTCTTCGTATGTTGACAGAACCAGGCCCTTTTCACAGGAGCAGCTCTCAGACCCAGAGCAGCAGAGGCTGTTAAAGAGGCTGGCAGCTGTCAAAGGCCCCTCAAAGCCCATCAAAGACTTCAGTCACCATCAGAGCTCAAATTAGAGCGGCTTCACAGAAGAGTGTTCTCACTCCTGACATCTAAAGGCTGACCAACAGCAACAAGAGCTACAGCTTTTGGCAGGCTTTGATGTGACACTCTACGGTGATGCTGACATTGCTCAGAGACTGCTGATCGAGTGAAAACTGGTTAAGCCGAGTTTCTGCGCTTGAGAGAACTGAGATACCCACGCACTGAACATGAGGTGTTACATGAGATGGGAGATACCTACGCACTGAACTTGCCCTCTGCAATGGTGCTCGGAGAAACGTTCCCCAAGCCAGGAGGGACCAGGCAAACATACGTCCAGGGCGGGCTCTGCAGTCACCTCCGCATCTCAGTCCCTGGGAAAGGGTCCATCAGGGTTGAGACGCTGTCCGCTGCTTTCTGAAGCTCTCTCTGCTCCTGCCCTTTCTCTTTTGAAATATGAAGTGATTGGGCTTTTTGTTTTCAAAATAGTTAAATGATTTCTAATGTCATAAAAAAGACTTCCTATGTAACAGGCACCAGGCAGATATTTACAAATGACATGCACACTTCCATTTGTAAAATGGCTCTTGAGCAATGCATTCAAACAGTGTCCTGTCAACGAGCATATTATCAAATCAAACATTTTCTTCTCAAAAGGTACAGAACATCCAGTCCAGGCAGGCCAGCTCACCTTCAAGAGACATAAACCACAGAAAACTGATGTTCTAGAAGAGCTTTGAGAGTGCTGCCCACTGAGGGCGGCCAGGGTCTGCCCAGGTCCTGTCCTCCTGCAGAGGAGAACAAGACTTGTATTATTTTGGCCAGTACTTCTCATTTCTATGGCTTTCCCTTGCATCTTGTTAGTTAATAAACTTTAATAAAACAGGACTAAACATATATTTACATTAGAAATAGATAGGCTACTCCTAAATGATGAGGGGACTAAGGTGGTGATGCCAAAAGGTGATTGCTGTGGACAGAATAAATTACGATAAACACAGGATGTTTTGGAATCACAGTATCATGTGCTCCAGGCTTTAAAAGATCTGTCTCCAAAATCAATGAATTCAAAATAGGAACTCTGCTTTTTTTTATTTGCTGACATCTCAACCTTTCCTGTGCTTCAAGGAAAACAAATTCTCAATCCACTCTCTTAAGGGAGAGTATAGTTTATGACAAATCTGCTATTCTCACCATTACTGCCAGGGCTGAAGCTTTACAATGCATTTTGTGTGAACAGGTCCATGTTACCCGGCTGCTCTTCCTCGTATCACTGTATCTTTACCTGCAAGTTTTGTTCACAGCAATCTCACATATCCTTCCAGATCTCTGATGAAAATGCTGAACAGTATCAGGCAGCTGTGGAGCTCTCCTAGAAACATTCATAGTCAAGGGTCATTCTCCAGCTACACTCTGAGAAGCCTTATTCACAGGACACATGTTTGATGGTGTTTATATACAGTTATTGTTGAAGAAACCAGAATGGCATTAAGGGAAAGCCCTTACTGCAGTTTAAGTAATGTACATATATGAAGCCACCTTTATCATCCAAAGTGAAATGCCCCAAAAGGATGAAATCAGGCTTGTTTCACTGTATCTGTTGTTCTCTAAAACCAACTGCCTGGAATTACATTTTTTCTGTCCTTTGATACTTCTGTCAGCTGTATCTTATCGTAGTTTTTCCCATGATTTTTCCTGGGACTGAGGTCAGTTGCACTGGCTTAGGGCAGCACTTTGCACGCTGGCACTTTAGCACTCTTCCAGCCTTGTAGAATTTCCCGGCTATTCTGAGGATGGTTAAAAATTAACATGAGTTGACCAGAGGTCTCCTCAGCCAGTTTTCAGGTCTCTGGGACGCGTATTCCCCAGCCCTGATGATTTAAAAGTATGGATTGCTAGTTGATGTTAGGTGGTTTTTGCCCCAGGTTCAGGTAGCTTTGCTGCTTTTAGACACACATCATTCCTATCCCCCTTCTTTCCCCTGGGAGCATCCATGAAAGTGCCCTTCAGCCCCACTATACAGCAAGTCAAATGAAAGCATCCAGTTTTCCCTTTAAAAACTCAACTAAAGAACTGTGATGAGGGCTGGAGTAAGGTCCCAGTTTGGGGGGTGATGAGAGGGGCACCAAATATGGTCCCTAGGTCAAAGTTTTCCTATTGGCTATACCCCTTTGCAAAGCAAAAGCCTGATACTCTTGGTTGCTAAAGAGGACTGAAGTTCAAAGGCACAACTCATGCTGAATTCAGTGTGTTTTGTTGTTAGGCGAACCAGTTTCTATATATTATTTTAAACTTTAATAAGTTACCTGCTATGAAGCTGCTGGCATCTGTCTTCCAAATGCAGATCCCCAATAACAGTATGTTTGTTTCTTTCCACGCGCTGCAGGCAGGTGGTTGCAAGGAACCAGGTAGAAGAAAGCAGCTCCAACGGTGAGCAGCCTCACTGCGATGATCTCAGTAGCCCAGACTCAGATTTGATTGTTCCTGAAACACCAAACTCCCTTTCTGAGGAAACTGGCATTCATGGAAGTATCTCAGCCTGAGTTTAAATTGGGACCGATTATAAAGAAACAGCAGTGCAGTCCTCCTGACTACAGAGAAAAGATCAATGCTCTGACTACCTATTAAACACTGATGCTACAAAGCAGAATTATTTCAGAAAAGAAGAACAATTTCTTTCAAAGGCCAGAATTAAAAATCCCAGACAGAGAAGAGGAAATCCTAACAGCCATATTTGAGCAACACTGCTGGAATTGCCTTATTAGAAGAGCAATTTACTTCTTGATAATACTGACTGCAAAATTCTTCTCTTGTTTAAAATCCAGGTGCAGACTCCTCTCTCAGTTATGCTGTGTATAGTGAGTACTGCCAGCTGAGCGGTTCTCATTTACACCCATTGCCTGAGAGCAGATTTACCTTCTGCAGCAGAAAGTGCAGAAATTCCAGTTGTGCCCCAAGTCCGGTTCTGCCCTGCTTACCTGAGGCTCCGTCCCGGCGTCTTCAGGGTGTCTCTGCAGAACCACAGTTTTCACTGCATTTCCTTACTGGGAAAGAAAACAATACCCTGCTGATCATGTTGGATGGGCAGCATAACCAATGTTGTCTGCACATCATGAGAGCCACTATGTTGAGAGCCATTTATTGCTAGCTCTGTCCTCAGGTCACCCTCTCAAGGTATCCTCATGATACCCAACTTACTGCAAAATAAATAATCATGTCAGTGCAACACCAACCATAAACCTCTGCTTTTAGAAGAGTTATGTCTTTCTTCCCTAGCTTAAAGCTCAGCCCAGAATATGTTTTTTTGTTTATTTTCCTATAGCGAAGACACATGTGGTTTACTTAAAACTCACTAAAACTCAGTTTAGCTAGAACAGCCTTTAAATGCTAATGAAAGCATGATTTGCTCAAGTGCATGACTCAGTGAATAAAGTCAGTAGCTTTTCCTACTGCCAGGAAATACAGGGGTTTGCTAGTAGTAATCAATCACGCTTAGCTATCACTTGGAAACAGTAGCTGGAAGAGGAACTTGGTAATATTGAATATTCTTGACATGGCATCTGCCAGTTACTCAGACACTAGAGAGAGAAAAGCGTGTTTGTCATCCTCTGTATCAAAGGGAGGTGCTGTCAAAAGCTCCAAAGCAACATCACGTTTCTGCACAAGCTGCTTGCTTTCGGCTGGGGCTGAGAAACAGCCTCTGGGCAGGTTTGGGGAAGGATGGAGAGGACCTCCTTAGCCAGCCCTGGGAGCAGCCCAGATCGTGCCCTTGCACTCCCTCCTCGCTCGGGATCCTCCACCATGCCCAGCTCTCCTCACCTGTGGGGCACCTCCAACCTGGCAGAGCAGACCAAGGTCCACGTGAGGGGGAGGAACACCCAGAGCTTCAGCAGCCACCGCGCTGGGACTGCAGAGTCTGCAACGTGACGGCTGTTGGTGTCAGCACTGAAAACCTGCCAAGATTGCGGGGTCAGACTGAGTCACGGGCAGGTGGGGGAAACGAGGGAAGGCTGCAGGAGCCAAAGAGGCAATGAGGACAGAAATACAGCAAAGAACCAACATTTCCCATTAGTCAACTCAGGTGGCCACACCAGCCTTGCCCTTCTCTCAGATACACTTACCCTTTGCTAGAGCTGAGGTATCACGCACAAGAAACACAAATCAGCCTTCATGGCAAAATCCTGACTGCATTCAGCTTAACAATGAATCTCTGCTGCTTTCAAAGGAGTGAGAATTTTTCCTTCATTGGCACGTTTGGTCCTACTGCAAGTGGCATCTCCCTGTAGCCCCAGTGGAAGAGAAAGAGCCCTGATGAGAGCCTGAAGGAGACCTGGTCCTCTTGGCCTGTCCTCCGTCTCAAGGCCGCAACAACGGTGCTTCAGTCGTTTCTGTTGTGCTTCTCTACCTTGATCTAAAAATCCTCTCTGGCCACAGGGCTGCACGGGCGGCTCCAGCTCTGTCACCTCATTTCAAGGTCCTTTTTTTCTACAAAACCACTAACGTTGTTTTACAGTTGCATTGGAACATGATTTAAAGCACATAACTACTGAAAATACTTCTTATTTATTTTCTTTAAACTTGTCTTGAACTGTTCGCAAGAGTTTAGGAATCAAAAAAAATATTATTGCTATTTGTTAAAACAGAGAAAATAACTTGCAGGCAAAACAAACCAACCATGGAGGATGTACAGCATGAAGTCTATAAATGGCAATAAATAATGCTCAGAATACAAGCCTATCTTACAGTATCTGACTCAGGCGGAAGGCAATGAGGGGAGTCAGAGTTTTCCTCCTTGCCCCTTCCCTGTGTAACACTTGGAAGGCGCTTCCAGCCCTCCTCTGTGTGGGCGCTTACTTGGCCTTCCCTCCAGACTGGCCCGCTAACGCACCCTGCTCCTTCCCCTGCAGCCTCTGGGATTCAGGCTTGGCTGAACTGCTGCCAAGTGTGAGCCCAACCAGCACGTGCAGTGGTTCAAAGACAGAGACGGCTTCCACAGAGACCTCCCCCAGGTGCTTCCCCCATTGCCACTGCCTCCTCCTGCTGGATCAGCTTAGACATCAGGAACACAGAGTGGTGAAGCACTGGAGCAGGCTGCCCACGGAAGTGCTGGAGTCACCGTCCCTGGCAGTGTTCAAGAAATGTGTAGATGAGGCAGTTAGGGACGTGGTTAACCGGTGTGCGAGTGATGGGTTAATGGCTGGACTCGATGATCTTGACGGTCTTTTCCAACCAAAGTGATTCTGTGATTCCGTGATGGCGCTGCTGCCCGCATCCTGCGTCCTCACACGAGCGCCAGCAGTCACTGCCGTGGGGCCAGGCCTCCCTGAGAGCTGCTGCCCAAGCGCAGGAGCCCCAGCCCACATCTCAAACCTAAGTGGGTTCTGCGCACAACAGGGACGTACGTATAGGCTTTTGGCTATCGACTTCACTCGTGTTTGGGGAACTGCGAGAAGAAGGGTTTCAAAAGCCGGTCCCCTCAGTGCCTTCCGTGAGGGCGGGCGGCTGGGCCCGCTGCAGGGCTCTCGGAGCTGGCGCCGTGCGCTTCTCACTGTAAGGACAGCATCCGAGTAGCCTGTGCTAAATCACAGAAACTTCTTGTTTCAAAACATAACCCATATAGAGGGCATGTTTTGCATTTCTCAATCCTCTCTACAATTTATCATGTTTCGAGCTTAGAGTAATGGCTCTCCATCAACGTAAATTATTAAAATGCATTGCTAACATATTGGCAGCAATTCACACACTCAAATTATCCATGTTTTTTAAAGATATTTGACCGTTATTTCCAAAAGTACCTCATAGCAATCTTTTACTTGCAATGTTACTAGAATACATTGATGCTCACAGAGGCAGTGAGATTAAATCTTACTTTTGAAGTTCCCACATGCAGAGCTACATTTGCTCTGCTGATAAGCACGCTCAAGCTGACAGGACAGGCTATTAGCACTATCAGCTTATTTGCATTATTATTATTCTCTGTTTCCAAAACTGCCATAAAAAAGAGGGAAAAAGTGTCTATGAACAATCCTCTCCATCCCTGAACACTTTGATAATCGTGATGTTAGAGATGATAATAAAACATTAAAAAACACAGAGAAAGCACTCGCTGCTTCGTCTTTTGGAGTATCTAAGGCCATCAGAAGCCACCATTTAAGCGTGCAGAGCTGATGCTCGCGGGGCTCCACGTGCTCCTGCAGGGAGAGCTGGCCCACGCGCGCACCTCGCCCTGCCGTACTCACAGTCACCTCAAGGGCTCCCCGACCCACAGCGTCCTGCATCGCTGCCAGCCAAAGCACCTTCTAAACACCGCAGTTACCTACCCTATTTGTAACCAGACTGCATTGAGAAGTCACCATTTCCACCCATGGAAGGAGACAGCGAGGTACGTAAGAGCCTGTTGGAGCACACACGCTTCAGCGTGCCCGCTTGCGCCTGGTGCCCCTCTTCCCAGAAACGGATCTCACTCCAGAAGCGCGCTTCCATCTTGACCAGCGTGAACACACGAGTTCCTCTCCTGCAGGTACCAGGGTTACTAAACAAGCGTTGCTAAAGGGCACGTGAAAGGGCGTAGGTGCACAAGGTGCACCCTTCAAAATGTTCTGGGCTTGCAGTTTGCTCTGCAGTCTCCAACAGCTGGGTTGGGGCATTTAGTTTTTATTTTCTGTTAACTTACTAAATAGTTGAGAGTGAATTTAGTACTTCTGCTTTACAGTCTCGCTGGAGTTTGAAGCATTTCCATTTCATTTCATTTTTACTCTCATTTCTTCTGTCCTCTCAAGCAAATCATACTATAAGCCAGTGGTCGGGTATGACCAGGTCCCTCAAAAACAGCTGAACACTTATTTCTTTCCATATGTGTCATGAGGATTTTCCTTTCTTGGCAGCTGAGCTGAAAACACATGTCTCCCTTTTGCTCTGTCTCAGGCCATTAACTTGTTTGGGTGGTTTTTTTATTTGTTTTGTTTTGAATTAAATAAATTATGCTTTTTCACTACAAAGAAATTGTTCTGATATGTCACATTCTGGGAACAGTTGCAGCAATATTATAGAACAATTCAGCCTCTAACGGGCTTCCAGCCTTTTTTTTTTTAAATGACGATTTACATATAGAAAGATTTCTTATTTCTATCTCACATTCTTTTATTAAGAAAAAAACAAAAAGTATGACAAGAGGTGTGCATTTTTGATTTTTTCCCCAATACAGAATTTGTACAACGTATGTAGGCACAATACATATTCATGAGTCAGTTTAATAAATCCTAATTTTACATTCCAAAGGTTCGAGTTCAGGCTGCGCCTGTTTGCGTATTTGGAACGGTATGTTCAAGTGCCCTCAAGGCAGCGTTCGAGAAGTATTTCCCAGAGTTCACAGAGAATTTCCAAGAAAATCCTGTATGATCCATCAGCAGCAAGTCATTTGCCGCTTACTCCAGCTCTCCTTCTTTCAGATGAACACAGGTTGTTGCTGCAGGTAGGCTGCAGCACTGATGGTCAGGTTTGCTTTTTTTAAATTAAAAATCAGAAAAGACTAAAACCACAACCACTCTGATGTGGATACTCTCAAATGCATTTAAATTTAAAAGCAAGAAGAACCACAGACCATCATAATTACAATGTTCACAGTTTTCTCTGTCTACTGGTTTTGCTATCCTGTACCATGAAAGAGAGAGTTTTAAAAGAAATGGTAAATCCTCATGGCTAACCCCCTGAGTACCTGTTCTTGGCACTTAGCACCAGATTGTGGTGAAGTATTACAGTCTTTATGCTCCATCTTACATGGGGAAGATGATGGATTCTAACTACAGGTTAGGGACTGAAACAGAGTCCAGAGTCTGATCAATCTTTTTTGGCTCTTCATAAAGTTAAAAATGCCTGTAATAAAACTGATATAAATAATAGTCAGTGTCCCATACCACTCATCTCAAGAAGAGGGAAATTATGGCTTTAATATTCCACTGAGACATGATGAATACAGGTCTCTCTGTCTGAGTTTGCACATAGTAATAAAATATTGATCTTCATGACAAAACAAGTTAGACTTGTCTGAAGGACAGTTCAAGAGGATTTCATGGCTGGCAGCAACAACGGCACAGCCTATAACATTAAAGATTAAGTGTCAGCACAGTGAATTAATGCGCCGTTGTAGCCAAGTAAAGGGTTTTGCAAAGAGATACAATAGTTTCTTCTCCTTGTTTATTGGTTTCCATCTCATCATCATTTAATTCATCATCTGTGCTGCTGTGGATCAGTCTGATGTGGGTTATTAACATATCTGGCTCCTGTGCTCCAAGCCACATGTCCCCAATGTAAACAGAAGTCAGGAACACACAAACAGCTGTGGAATAAAAACAAGAGAAATCAGAACAGATATTCTTCCATTTCCAAACAGCTGTTATAAAAGTAACTCATTTTACCAGATATCCTTCCAGAACTGTGTACTAAACTAGTTTCTTAATTCTCCTCCTAGATGTGAGCAAAAAATGCTCAGATCTTCCATGAGGCCAATGATCTACCCCATACTAACAAGGAAAGTTCCATCTTTGCAAACCTTCCTGGCACCTTTAAATAAAATGGTTTGAAACCAGAGCCGTGGCTTTTGCTCTCAAATAACAATGAGAGTGTGCAGATTAAAACTCACAGGGACTTAACTTGTTGCAGTCTGCTTTCCCCCTTGCAGTTACATTTTATATATCTGCTAATCACCAGACACGATAGGTAAACATTAGGCTGTTTTGGTGAAGTTAGAACGTCAGAAATCAGAACTACCTCCTCCTGCTATCTGCCTCGTAACAAGAGTGATGAAGAGGAGACGAGTTACCTTTCTTGTTCTCATCCCCTTCCGTCAAGGCCGACAGGCACAGCGCTTTCACAGGCTCGTGGAAGCTGCTCCGAGTGAGGCCCTGAGCGTCCATGAGCTGCAGCATCACCGAGCTGAACAAGCAGAGCTCTTCCAAGTGCCCCGCTGCCCCCTCGCTGGCCGCGCAGGCCCGGGTGTAGAACTTGAAGATGTGGTTTCTCAGTGTGGCATCCCCAAGAATCTCCCACACCGCCTCGGCGTGCGGCAAGATGCATTTCTGCAGCCACCGCAGAACTGACAGCACGTTCTGCATTCTGAGGCTATGCTCAACCATGGACTTGATGAGCCATTTTGTCACTACGTACATGGATGCACAGGTAAGACCGGCTGCTTCGTCTTCAAGGTCTACAGATTTGAGGGGCTCCTCTGGATGTTTGGTAGGCACGGCTGGGAAAACGGGCTCCCAGTGTGAAAATATGGAACTCAGATGCTCTCGGCACTTCTCCAGCTCAGAGGCTTTCAGCTCTGCATCGGCGTCATCTTCTCTTTCTACCTCATTTTTTTTCCGGAAGTGATGATATGCAAGAAGCGGGGTTTGAGATTTGTTCTTTTCTTTAATATTTTCTATACAAAGAAAAACAACAGCAAAAAATAAATTTACAGGTACTTCAGAGCATTTCCTTTGTACAAAATTGTGTGGCAAAGATGGCACCACATGTTGTTTGAGCTGCTAAGAGGATAAGTCCTGGCCTCATTTAGCATCCTCGTAAGGCCTGTGTAGTCCGGAGTGAATAGGGATCAGCTACAGCCTCCCAGTAACTCCCTACCTAGAATATATTTCCGAATGGGACCTCGTAACCTTGAGGTGAACAGTGACTCTGCCAAAGCCCTGACCCAAAACTCCGTAAAGCCAAGGCAGTGTTTTGTAAGTCCACAAGAGGCACGTTATTGCTGGGGCTACATTATTTACACAGGTGGCGAGAAATTTTCAGACCATTCTTGTTTGGGCTGGCAGAGGCCAAAATAAGATTTCAGATAGGAACAGCTTTTGTGGCTGGATTATAAGATGCTAAGGACAGGAACAGCTGTTTTTCTTTTTTTCTTTTTTTTTTCTCCTTTTTAACTATCTATACATAAAATTATATGTATTGCTACAGTAACTCTCTAAAAATCCTCAGAAACACATGTGGAAAACTTAAAAAAAAAAAAAAATCTAAAGCTTGTACACGCCTTAAATATAATGATACTTCAGTGATTAGCTTAAGTGATTTAGAATCACAAAAAAAAAAAAAAAAGGAAAAACCATTGAAGGGTATAATGTACACCAAGAATGGTTAGACTGGCAGGAAAGCAACATTGTTTAACACCTCCTACTGCAAATTTTCTTACACATTTTATTCACAGAGATTACTCAACAAGACAGAAGCCATGCAAGGCCTTTTGTTTTGCTATTCCTTCCTATGATGATGACGAGGAAAGAAAAAACCCTAAAAAAAACCTTTTTTATTTTCTTGTTCTACTGCCATTTTTTACTCCAGTTTCTCTTTCCGATCCCCATTCACTCAGGTGTGAGTTCAGCTGAGTTCAAGGCTTTGAGCATAAAGACTCCAAACACCATTTTTTACAGTTTCTTTTTTTGGAAATACAATTTTTGAAGTCTGCCGCTAGATCAGCAACTAAGTTTTATTTTAAAGCTCTTTCTCTTTTTACAACTGTGTTTCTCCAAAGCTTCCAGAATTGTGTTAAAGTTAAAAATCACTGCAATAAGAACCCGAAAAAGCTTTCCATCCATTCTTCCTCCCTCAAGCTATGTCAGATTGTGTGACAAGGATCTTAACACTTTTATTTCTTTCTTAAAAAAATTGCCTCAGTTTTGTGATTAGACTATCCCAGTTTCAACAATATTACTTCTCTTACACAAATATTTTAAGTACTTACTAAGCAATTCTTTGATTTGGTATTTTTGAGCAAGACTCTGGATATCATCTTGAAGCTGCAGGTCCTTTTCCAGGACGCTCCACTTGTGCAGGAGCAGCAGGATGTCCTTGTTGGAGAGCGCGCTGTCATTCACAGTGAAGCGGCTCATTTCTTTGAAGGCCTTGATGACTGCAGCCCGATAGCCCAGCACAGAATTCAGTGTGCTGAAAAACTCGGTCAGTTTGGTCAGATCTAAGTTAGTCCTGTTTAAATAAGAAAAACAAAGTCAGAGATTAAGGAATGTGGTTGGGGGTTTCTGCACACTAATTCATAAGTACATTTTTTTTTCTCCTTACAGTTCTCTACATATACAAACTTGCTTCTCAGGGGGCCACTGATGCACTTTCCTTACCACCAAGTGCCCAGCGCCTCCCGCATTCATGTCTGGCAGAACAAGCCATGTAATAAATGGAGCCTTTGCCCCCTGCGGTAAAAGCCAGGGGCAGATGACAGGCAGGAAAGGGGTCGGAGGTCTGCAGCTTTAGTGACCCTTCTTCACTTTGCATGACCTGTCACAACTCTGAGGAGGAAAAAAAGAAATGTAGCTTGTCCAGGCTGTGGCAATCCTAGTCTGCGGGAAGAGCTGCTATGAGGAACCCAGGCAGAACTGGTTATCCACTTGTTCACTGATATCCAGGCTTCAGCTGCCCTCTGCCACTGCTGCATTTGCACAGATTACTTGTGTTACACAGGTAGACAGCGACCCCCTATTTTATATCTTCAGATAGAACTTGGCACAATTATTCTTTGTACAATTTGTAGGATCAATCAGACCTAAAAAGAGCCTAAAGCTTACGGGACATGTGGTATCCTTGCAGCAAATTGCATTGCTGACCACAGGCTCTAATCCAGCAGGGAAGAAAGTAATATATATCACAACATCTTAAAAACGTCCAGTAATTAAGAATGCGGAACATAACATGATATCCACTGTCCTGTTATTTCTAGTTATTTCTAAATATATTTAAACTGCTAAATCTTCCTGTCAAAACAAACCTGATGCATCAAGATTCACCAGTCAACATTCACACCACAAGAGGGGAAAAAAAAAAAAAAAAAAGCATAAGCTCTCAAAGATGGAGGCATTCTTCTGGCCTTAGCACATTTCAAACAAGAGACAGCATGACCTGCGTATTGCTTTAAAAAAAAAAAAAAAAAAAAAACTTACCGAATGTGTTTGACTAATGTGATCAAGACATACAGAAATTCATTTACAAGCTGAATAGGAAGAAACTTCCTGCTCTTCTGGGGCTCTTTCTTGCTTTCTCTCTTGCCTCCTAAATTTGTTACCCACAGTGTTTGGACTAAAGAAATTATTTTATTTAACATCTTATTTTCCAGAAACCTGCAAAACAAAACAAAGAAACACATGCCCATGTAAAAGGCAGAGCTCTGTCACGAGCCCATCCATCTGCTCTGGGGGGGCATAATCTAGTGCATGTTTGGAGCTGTGAATAGCAGGTCTCATAGTCAGGCCCCCCTGTTCATCAGGGCCCCTCTGAAGCCCTTCCCCAGGAAACAGCAACCAACTCCTCCCTGCAGGTGGGGAACCACAGGGCTGCATCACAGGAGACTAGTGACTTCTGACTTGCTTCTTTTCTGTGTGAATTGTTTTCCAAAGCAATCCGTTAAATTGCCAACATCACCACTATTTCTTTAGAACAATTACTCTTCAGCATAGCTTGCTCCCTGTACAGTGTAATGTTTCTGATGTTGCCATGACTTTATTTAATAACAGCAATGCTTACAGTATCAGGAGCCAAATTTACTTTGTTACTCTAATGAAAAGAAAAATCAATCATGATTTTGTGCAGAGGATGCATGAAAAATTATCCTCAGAAGACTGATCACAAGATAAATACTGTGTGTCAGGTCAAATCCAGACTTTTCCATTTCCAGACGGAGAACATTAGTTCTCCCCTGCTCTCAGCTCTCTGTGCTGTTCCTAGTGTGGATCCTCAGCATGGGTGAACCTGTTCAGAGCGATCGCAGTGCAGAATCCCGACACCTTGTTTGAATCTATCGGGAAAACCTATGCTAAAGGCATCTGGGTGCATATGGACATACCTATATTGAGGGAAGGGCAAGAGCAGGCAGAAAAAGTGGGAGGAGAGATGTTATGGCCAGCTCAAATTTGTTATCAAGCCAAGGTCTTTGTAGGAGGTCCTATGACAGGATGTGGATTGTAGGTAATAAAAAATAAAATAAGGTGCTATTTTGTTTTCTAAGTTTTTCAAGAAAACACTATCAAAACAATGAACCTTCCTCCCACAACAACCCAAAAGCACCTTAATTTTGTTTTCATAAACATCAGGGAACCGTTCAGAGTTTGGCACGTTCTACTGGTACAGCAGACAGGTGCCAGCTATCACAACTGCTGATCGGACATCTCTGTATCCGTCCCCTTGTTTTGATATTCCTTTGCAGAGTTATTTCCCATATGCAGTTAGTAGTATTGTTCCCATTTCTCCAACATTTCCCTTGTCACCTTTTCTCCAAGATATGCAGTATCCATGTCAGGAGACTGTGGTCTTGTATCAGTTCATAGGCAGCTTTGGTGACACAGGCAGCATTTTGTAATATTTCCAGAATATGATTCTGAAATAGAAAATACAATTCGGTCTTTCACAAAAATAGAACATAGTCAGGATCTAATTACTATCAATCTTTCGGAAGGATATAATTAGCAATCTGACTGTATCCGGAATTTAATCAAATAAAAGGTAAAACGTATTACCAAGCATCATATGTTCTTAGCAACCCCAGGGAACAAAAGACATTTTCTTTTCAAGGCTTCACATACTAGGCTAGACACTATTAAAAAGACACAGTCTTTAGGTAGAAAGACAATCTTCTGTCTTTAGTCGAGATTTTGACACCTAACTGAGACACTCTGAAGAGATTAGATTTCCCTGGGTGGAAGCTTGTGAATATGAGGGCTTCTACAAGTGATCTGCTCTTCCTAATAAACACTCTACATGTAAGTTGCTGGATAGGCAACAAGACGTAGGACAAGTAAAGGCTCTGCCCGTACACACAACTGTTGCTTCTGCAATGTTTTCCATGAAGCAGTGCAAATAAGATTGTAGAGCCAGACAACCACCTGATAAATACGAGTGATGTTTTATGATGGCAAGGACCTAGCCCAGTTTGAGGGGTGAAGTATGTGACTCTGATTTGGTAAAATAGGTATTTTCCCAGGTCCCACATAATCAACAAGGAACAGATTTTCAAGAGAGAAAGGGAAGAGTCAGCTGCTCCTTTCTGCTTTTTTTTATGTTTATGATCGCCAATCTGTAACATCTTGCGTTTGTTTAAAACCTACCTGAGAGCCCTCATCGCACAGGGGACTGTTGAAGAAGGAAAGAACGACATGGAAAATCCTTTGGTAGTCATAAAGTTGGTAGCAGTATTTATCACGCAGCCCTTCTCCAAGGAGCCTAAGAACCCAGTCACGTTCCGTTTTGTGCTAGAAGTGACAAGAAAACCACCAATGTCAAGACACTGCAATATCGTACGTGTTCACAGGAGCATAAGCACAACATGTTTATCATGCATGATCCTGGGAGCATCAGCACAGGACTGAACAACAACTTACAGACTTCTCAACTTCCCCTATCAAATTCAATCAGTTACAAAATACATCAGGATGAGTGATAACGGAATGTACAAGGTTGTTATTTCTAAAAGACTTCAGTTTAACTCAGCTTCAATATTCTAAAATCAAACATGAATGTAAGCTAGCTGAGACAGAGGGACAGAAGATTGCTTTTTTTTTTTCCTATTATTTTCTGAAGAATTACTCAATACTTATCGTGATTCTTACATTACCTCCAAATTAAAGCTGTAGAAAAGCTGGAAAAACCCTGGTACTTTCCTCAGGTCCAAATATTGGTGCGAAAGAAGGAATCTGTTTATCTTTGTGTACATGTGCTCCTCTGTGAAGAGAAACAGTTGTTACTGTGGAGGACAACCACCCAGGAGAAAAAGAAAAAAAAAAAAAAAAGAAAAAAGAAAAAAAAAGCCAAAACCATAAAGGGAGCCTGTATTTTCCAGTGTCTCAGCTAGCTGTCAGGGCAGCGTCCTTATGACAGACAGGAGGCTTTGTGCTATAAGGCTGATTGTATGATTGGCCATCCTTCTCTTCCCAAAAATGAAAAGCTCATTCAGGGAACATCCAAAGCAGGTGACAAGATGAACATTCAGCGCAGCTCAGGTTTCAGCAAACCAAAAACATCTTACTTCACTCAAAAACAGAGGTCTGTTGTGAAGTTAAGAGGCAAATTTCGGCTGATCTAGAGGACTTCAAGGGGAAATTCAAATTCATAAGCATTTTCTCAGAGCTGCTTAGGACTGGTCAGGCATCTTTCCAAGGGCAAGCCATGCATCTGACTAGAGACTGTCTCAGGACATGTTCAATCCAGCCCTATGCATGTTCATAAGCACCCCCTATCCTTGAGGCAGAAGCTGTAATTTATGAAATAGGTAAAGAACAAGAGAAGTTCAGACCAGAGGCACAAGAAAAAACTTCTTCCCTGTGCAGACAGGCAGGCAGCAGGACTAGGTGCCCAGAGGTACTGTACACTGCTCTATAGTGTTCCCATCCTTGGATGTTTTCCAAGGTTATCGCTCAAGGACATCACTCCATGCACAGCTCCTCTCTCCTGTTAAGCACCCCCAGGCGTTCAATACGCACATGAGATTACAGTACCTGGCTTCAGCATCTGCTGCGCTACACGAGCGATGTAGAGGGTTAAGGAGAAGGTAAATCTGAGGTTCTGCTGCCTGATTCCATTTTGCACAACATCCATGAGATACAGCAACTGCAGCACAAGAGCCCAAGTGAGAAAAGTGCTTGCACCATCACCATCAGGAGAGTGTGAATACAGAAATAAGTTTTTATGTTATCTCATAGAACATAAACCAAATACCAATCCCATTGCAAATATAGGAACTGATAGGAATCTCTTTCCTACGAATCAAGTTGCTAAGCATTTCACGTATTTATTTCGTTTTTTTTTTTCCTTCCCATGGATTATAACTGGAGCAAATATAAAGGAAAAAGAAACAGAGAGGATAAAAAGCTTCTTAAAAACAATCAGCGTACGAATTCAGCAATCTTATGCATATTGGTTTGTTAGAATTAGCAATTGCTTAAACCAGGGACAGTGTGCAGACAGCCCAGTTACACTTCGGCCACTGCCTGTAAAATCACAGGCAGTGAATGAGGTCCTAACTGGCCCTCTCATAACGCATAGGTGGACAGATGAGCAAGGAAGTGACTTTCCCATAAAACGAGGCCTAAAAAGTCTGGCCTGGCAGAAGCAAACTATCAACCTATCTCAGTCTTACCTGTTTTTGCTCTCGAAAGCGAGCGCCTTCTAGATGAGAACGAAAGGAACCCAGGACATAATATGCTGCTGCTCTCATATTGGAATCATAGCTACTAAGTGCAGCTACTGTTAGACCCAAGGCGTTGACTTCTACAAACTTGTGACATGCCACTACACACTCTGTGAGGGAGGAAAAAAGAAAAAAAAAGGAGAGGAAGAAAGAGCAAGAAAAAACATACAGTACACCAAATTAACAAGTTAGAGAGCATGCAGGGCACTATTATCCTTAGCAAAACTTCTATTCATAAACATCATTTTCTCACCTACTTCTATTAAATTATTGCTTCACTGCAAATGCTGAAGGCTTATTCAGCAAACAAAGGCAATCAGCAAATCACAGAACAAGAGTTATTTATCTGAGATGAAACTAAGCCAGTTGGTTTCACGTACCCAAGACAGCTGTGATTTGGCCTGGTAGGCCATGCAAAGTGAGAAGCTCTGTAAAGACATCATGTGTCTCACTTATCCAGGGGCGCTCTCTCACCATCACAGTCAAGAAGTTTTTTCTATGTTCCTGTGCTTCCGTTTGTACCAGTTGTCTCTTGTGCTGCTGCTGGGCATCCCTGACAAGAGTCTGGCCCCCTGCAGACACTTACACACATCATAAGACTCCCCCTCCAGCAATGAACAGCAACAAGCCAAACCAAAAATACATCTTTGATCTAACATTTTTTTTTATAGTATTTTGTCATAGAATCATAGAGTCCTTAAGGTTGGAAGGGACCTCTAGAGGTCATCTAGCCCAACCCCCTGCACACGCAGGGTCACCTAGAGCACGTGGCACAGGACTGCGTCCAAGCGGGTTTTGAAGATCTCCAGAGAAGGAGACTCCACAACCTCTCTGGGCAGCCTGTTCCAGTGCTCTGTCACTCTCACTGTTAAGAAATTTTTCCTTAAGTTCCTGTGGAACTTTTGATGCTTTAGTTTCTGGCCGTTTCCTCTAGTTCTATTAGTGGCTACCACTGAAAAGAGGCCAGCACCATCCTCCTCACTGCCTCCCTTGAGGTGCTTATAGGCACTGATTAGATCCCCTCTCGGCCTTCTCTTCTCCAAGCTGAACAGGCCCAGCTCCCTCAGCCTCTCCTCATAGGGCAGATGTTCCAGGCCCCTGATCATCCTTGTGGCCCTGCGCTGGACTCTCTCCAGCAGCTCCACATCCCTCTTGTACTGTGGAGCCCAGAACTGGACACAATACTCCAGATGCGGCCTCACCAGGGCTGAGTAGAGGGGCAGGAGCACCTCCCTCGACCTGCTGGAGATGCTCTTCTTAATGCACCCCAGGATCCCATTGGCCTTCTTGGCCACGAGGGCACACTGCTGCCTCATGGTCAACTTGTCGTCCACCATGACACCCAGGTCTTTCTCCGCAGAGCTGCTCCCCAGAAGGTCTGGCAGCGCAGCCCTCTGGGGTATCAGCTGCTCCCCCCAGTTTTGTATCATCAGCAAACTTGCTGAGGGAGCACTCTGTGCCTTCATCCAGGTCATTGATGAATAAATTGAACAGGACTGGACCGAGGACTGACCCTGGGGGACACCGCTACCCACAGGCCTCCAACCAGACTCTGCACCACTGATCACCACCCTCTGAGCTCTGCCATCCAGCCAATTCCTAATCCATCTCACTGTCCACTCAACTATCCCACACTTCCAGAGCTTGCCCAGGAGGATGTTGTGAGGGACGGTGTCAAAAGCCCTGGTGAAGTCGAGATAGATGACATCCACTGCTCTCTCCTCATCTATCCAGCTGGTCATTCCATCACAGAAGGCTATCAGGTTAGTCAGGCAAGATTTCCCCTTGGTGAATCCATGCTGACTACTCTTGAGCACATTCTTGTTCTCCACATGCCTGGAGACAACGGCCAGTATGAGCCGTTCCATCACTTTTCCGGGGATGTAGGTGAGGCTCACTGGCTTGTAGTTGCCTGCGTCCTCCTTCTTGCCATTTTTGAAGATTGGCGTGACATCAGCTTTCTTCCAGTCCTCCAGCACCTCCCCCATTCTCCAGGATCTTTCAAAGATGATGGAGAGTGGCTTAGCTGATGATGGTTTCTCATTTAAGTACAGTGTGTTTTGAAGAGCTTCTGTTACTTTTATCCACTTATGGATCTAATTGAGTTGATGTGAAAGTTCCAATTTGTCCCCCATGCTACTTCTATTCGTCAGTAAAGACAGCAGTTCATTGTATTTACCATCCAGAGTGCATATGTACTGAGTTTAAGTTCAGTGACAATATTCACGTGTCTTCTTGTGACTCAAACTGAAGGTCAGAAGCACTGATGAGTGCCTATATTTGGTCCAGTGACTTTCTATCTCACCACCACACACCCCTCTACCTTACGAAAAACAAAATTAAAAAAAATCACGGATTATTTTTGCCCCCGCACCAACAGCTGGGCTGTTTCTCCCTCGACTGCCAGAACTCCTACTTCAGTCTCCTGCCTGGCAGTTTCATACTCAGCTGTGCTAGTTACAGGGCAGGAAAGAGCAGAGTTTCGACTTCCCTACAGTGCCTCCCAAGCAGCCTGCTGCTGTATGACCCTTGCAAAATCACCAGGATTGCAACTAAAAACCACCCACTGAAAAGACTGATACAGCTATTTAAATTCTAATCATTACCACAGAGCTCTTCTTCAGAACAGAGCTCTTGGGAATGACTATTGTACATCAACTAAAAAGAAAAAGGGGATAATTTTCTGGAGTACTATCACATTCTGTGTCCCAATTTCAGCAGTACAGTTCATGCTGGTCACAGAAAGATTTATTTGGAAAACTTTCTTTCACCGAAAACAAGTAATGGAAATATTTTCCATCCAGCTGACCTTGGGGAATGTGTTCAGCAACTAGCATAAAACAACAAGCTATTATTAAAAAAAAGTTAATTTCATGTCTGACATACGGGTTGTTTAAAGAATCTTGAGAATTGTGATGGAAAAGCTTTCCCCAAGATGCTTATCAGAGCTAAAGTTAGACAAAACTCACTATCTGTCCGACTCCAGACTTACTTTTGACTCAGTGAGCAATAAGCAGTGTGTCATAAGTCTGTGTTTATAAATCCAGCAGTTATGTAACATCTGTGCACAGGACACTGCACAACCAGTAAAAAGAGCAAATAAAGAAGGAATGGGTGTTCCAAAAACCGGTGACATGGTTTAAGAGTACCATGGGGTTTGAACTCATAGAGCACTTGGGCCCTCTAAAATGCCTTAGGAAACAGTCTCTCCTCACCGTGGGACTGTTTAGGGACCCACTTCATCCCATCCCATTGGTGACGGGGCCTGTGCTGGGGCAGCCAGAGCCTCCACAGCAAACGCTCGCCACCTGACTGCACGACTGCCCCAGCTGAGCAACAGTCACTCAATCCCTACTGCCACATGAGGCAGTGACCTCTATACTGTGTGTGATGACAGGCACACGGCAACAGTGCTTTTTCTGCTATTAAATCCAGGCTCAAAAGACACTGTCGTCTATGTCGTCCCAAAGACCCAGCGTAACTGGATTGTCTATGATAATTTCTACTGCAAGACAGCTAACAGTTCTGCTACCTTTCTCAGTAAACTGGAAGTTTATTTTTAAATTGTTATCTTTGTATTTTTAACAGTTCTTTTTCTTGCTGTCAGAATTGCACAGAACAGCTTGCAACAACAGCTAAAAATAGGCTAGGAACATACAAAATAAGTACGGTACTGAAACAGCTTAGGTGAACAAAGGAGGACTCCAAGTGTGATTTCACTGAAAGACAGTTACCAGCCTGGCAACTGCTTGGGATGCTCTTGTTACAAAATCCAGTGGTTAACCATGATCAACACAGAGAGAGAACTGGTTAGAAATTCCTCATGATACATGTTTCAGTTTGATGTGGAAGTGCTGTCTAAAGAGACTACATGTGACATACAGCAGGGACATCCTTGTGAAAAAGGCTCATGTCAAGTAAGGAAAAGCTGGGCAGGTAGTTTTCGGCCCTGGGCAGATCCCATCACTTTCCACTGATTCTAAGCACGGACATATTTGTGACACGACACTCAAGCACCTCCAGGAGAAAATGAGGTGGCCAGTGCTTCGCCCAAAGCAGGCAGGTCCAGCACACCGCAGCAAGCAAGCTGCAGCCCAGCCTGCAGCCTCGCAGAGCACATGTCCCTACCAGCAGCCACGCAGCTACGCCAGGGCAGGCCCACCGCTGCTGGGCTCTTCTGGGGTCTGCTTCACCCATCAGTCCCTTGGCTGCCTTCTCTTGAGGCAGGTTTACCTATGTGCATGGCAGGAGCTAACCCACTGCCTCTAACAGGCAAGATGCTCACTCAGTTCAGTGACAGGGTCTGTTACAGAAATCAAATGTTTACTCATCAACAAACATCCTCACCCTGCCCAACTCCCACGGCGAACAGAGCAGGAGCCAATTCCTGCTCCCAAAAACTCAGCCACCTGGGCACAATGCAGCCCCAGACTCATCAACACTGTCTTATCAACTGCCTGTGTTGGTACAGTGTGTCCCAGCAGTAGGTACCATCTGTTCAGCAACTGTTTTGCACCGTAGCTGATGCAGGACACAGCTCTCTACAACTTCACCAGAAAAAATACGACCCTCCAGTGGGAAATATTCTCTGATCACTCTTTTGCTATTTATTTGTTTTATGCGGTTTTGTTGGGGTTTTTTTTGTGCTACACAGAGTACTTTTCAATAGATCAAGGAACATATTTCCCTTGTTTTTGTCCCTTCAAAGCTATGTACAGTTCCTATTGAGGAATCTCACCACCTTAGGCACAGCAGTTCACCTACACAGGGTTAATTTACCTCATTTAAATGAGCTGTGCGGGAACACCTGGTACCCAAGAGCAGGTTGGTAGGTCAGGCCCTCTCCTGCTACGTTGCTCCTGCACTATGCTAAAGTGCTTTAAAATGACTTTAATGTCAGTTAAGCCTACGTATTTTTAAGTCATTCTGAAATTTACAATGCAATGCAGTAGGCGGTTAAATGAGGTATGCATTTCTTCTCTCCAAAGCCAGGTTCATTATTTCTTCGTAGTTTTAATTCTTAGACTGAGGATAACAGCTAACAGCTACAGTTGGAGCCACGCAGCTTCCCCAACAAAGTAGAATGTGAGAGGAGCATTCACTTTACCTGGTCTTGTCAACTCACTGAAGAGCTGCAGTAGAAAACAGGGATCATAGAAGTCATCGAGACTCTTGACACTTTCATCTCTGTACAGGGACTCCTGCTCCTCCTGAAACCAAATCCAAACAAGGACTTTGTAAGGAGTAACAATGATTTCCAGGCTGTTTCCAAACTGCCCAAACCACCTCAATCCATTATAGAGCAGCTGACGTTAAACCTTACAAAACTATACAACTATATATGCAACTATAACACAAAGGCTATATTTGGCTTTTATGAACAGCATTTCAAAACTATTTCCCTTGACCACCATGAACTGATATAGACACATACTAGAAAACTGCATAAAGGAATAAGTTGCAGAATTGATTGTCAGACAAGCCTTAGACAGTCAAATTTAACAACAGTGTAAAAGTCAAATTCTAGTCTCAGTTATACATGGCAATCTTGGTGATGCTGCACAGTCACATTGGCTGACAAGATGTAGTCTGTATATTGCAACTCATTTGAAAAAATAAATAAGCATTTTTTGTAAGCAAAGTGTGATATATTACTATAAGAAACAAATAATGAAAGTGAAAGTTTTTTCACATCAGAAGGGGAATAAATCAAGAGCCTGAAACAAAGCACCTCAGATGACAGAAGATGGCGATGCTGAGGGAAAGACAGAACTGTCTTCATCATCTTTTCTCGATCTAGCAGACACAGAATCTCCTCCATGCTTGGCTGCTGCCAAAGTGACTTCCCCAAACTCTTGCAAGTCTTGTGATGCTCCACAGCTGCTGGACCCCATAGCAAGATCCTTAAACATTGTTAAAAAGAAAGCCATTAGTCAACAGACTGTTACCCCAGAGCAAAAAACAATTATAAAGGATATAAATTAGTATTTAAATTTTTCTTCACTTGTATCTGTTATCTTGTGGGAACTTGAAATTAGAACTCGTTTCCCTGGCAACACTTTCTCACCTATACAAAAGCTTTTCAAATTCAGTCTGAGGGTGGCTCATTAACTATTTCCAACTTCATTAATCAAAGCCAGGTCTTTTTATTTTTTATTTTTGCTATAAATGTGGTAAGTATGACAGCAGTAACATGAAGAGACAGTGACCAAGACTTGAACAAACAAGGCTGTCTCAAATGCAACTGATATTTCACACCTGCAATGCTTTGGTAAAACAAATTCCTCAATCTCCTCCTCAGAGTTGCATCTTAAAAGATGTTTATTTTGCTATCATGCTTGAAAGGCTATTGATACTGTCATTTTCTACAGAGTACTGCCAGCAACGTGCCTGGAGAGATGTGAGCAACGTGGAGGGATGGTGCTAGGCTTCCTGTGACTCAGGCCCCAAACACAAGTTGGCTCTGCCAGCCTGCACATACAGTGCGTTTCCTGAACACGCTCTACATTTGCTCAGATTAAACTCCAGTGCTGGGATCAGGTGTAGCCAAGTGTCCAGCTACCACTAGTCACTTTAGACTACTGTATGAAAATGCTTCTCCTTTAGCAAAGTTACAAGGGTTTGGGGCCTTAGTTGCATCTGGAGCCAGTTTCTCCTCACATAACTTGCTAACATTTACAAACACTTTCAGGGAAGATTTAAGCAAGATACAGCTAGCACCAGGGTCCTTGCTTCTGGAAACCACTCTTACTCCTTGCAAACAAGGACATTCATTTACTGTCCCCCACCACAGACTGCACGGTTACCTACTTTTCTCAGTTTAAAATAAGACCTTGAGAAAATGTAAATCATGAGACTTTTTTTTTTTCCATATAAACGGTCAAATACAGGAAAGTGATCAATTTACCTGGAATTTACAAGGCTTTGATTATTCTTCTCATATAACCGAAGCAGCAGTAATATCTTCTGATCTAAAGAAAAAAAAGATAAAAAAAAAGAAACCCAAAAGTCAGTGAAAGCAGGTGAAAACCAGCTCTAGCAGGAACATGCTTCCCCGACTGACACACACTGACACCCTTACCTACAGCACTCAGCGTAGCCCCATAGGCACCCAGCAGCACAGCAAGGTGATTGCTCTCGCACACAGAGGGGCTGAGTTTCACTATTAGCAGCAGAATATCCACCAAGGTTTCTGAAATAAACAAACACAGGTTTTGCTTTCTTGCTCTCTCAGTCAGATAGCTGATGTAAACATGAACAGGCACACATATGCTCTCTCCTTCTCTCTCCCTATATAAATATACACATATATATTCACTACGTACAATACATATACTACTGTATATAATACCTAACATCTTAGACCAAAATCTGCTTTTGTAAGATAAATAGCACAAAACATTTCCCTGACGATACTAACAGATCAAATGATGTAGTTAATTCCAGTGGAACAACTTTTCCAATGAAGTTAAAGCCTGTATGTTACAGCTGTCTGAGAAACACACCAAGTGACTGGGCTGCTTAAGGACAAACAAGATGTTTGTGGTAGACTCAGGAACTGAATCCAGAGCTCTCTACTCCCAGTATCTAAAAAGCAAGCTTTTTCCTCCTTCAGGATCTGCCACAATATATCACATGTCAAAACAAAACAGATCAAAAAGACAGCAGCCTGAATGAATGTACCACTGATACCAAGTTTCTGAATTACAAAACTAAACCACAAAGGATTCGTCTTCTTGCTTTATAGAAACGCATCCAAAGGCAATACATAGCAAAAGCTGTTATTTATTCTTTAATTTCTCTAAACTTGCCTCTTCACAAAGATATTTTTGCTCTTTTCAGGTTATTTAAATTTTCTTTACATTTTGTTCACTGATATACGCAAGGTTTGTTATCAGCGTGATGCACAGAGAAATTTCCTCTGACTTTCTTACGCAGCTCATGCAAATACTGACTCTCAAAGCACTTTACAGAGAGAAAAGCTAAGGTGTGCAATAGGTTAAATGGCTGATCAGATAGTATTTTAATCGGCACAGACAAAGAAACAAAACTTATCCTACACAGAGACTAAGGTTGTTTATATTACTCATGGAAGGGTATTTCTCAGGAAATATCAGTTCCATTATCAAATACATATGGTTTAAATTAACATTTTAGATAGAGATTGCAAAAATCTGAAAAAGAAAAAAAGCTTATCAGTATTTTTAGAAGACCTAAGTGTCAAAACAAGCAGTCATAAAATGAATGCAATGTTTGAATTAAAGTGGAGGCACAATTTGAAACTAAACGGAATTAACAGCTCTGCAAATATACGTAGGTGGATAGGTTACTGGATGGATAGAACATAATGCTGAGAAAGACAAGATTACATAATAAAGTTAAGGAGAAGGAAGAAAGGGGAAAAAAAAGATACCTCTCATCTGACTGTTCGTGTCCTCTTCTTCTCTTGACCTCAAAATAGTTGATAAAAATAGAGAGTGCTGTGTGACCATCATGTGAAGTTTGGAGAGCTTGACTAATCTCTGACTAAGCAAGGAGTTTTTCCTGTACAATAACTGAATAGCCAAATACAGGGCTTTCAGAAATGCTTCATCTCTGTAACGGTACCTTTAGAAGCAAGGATGGCAGAAAAGTCAGAACCCAACCAAAAAGAAAGCTGCTTAAAAATCTGTTTAAGAAACAAGAACTTTACAAGGAGCAAAACCAAGACAATAAAAATCAATACACATGCATGTCCTCCTCTTAGACTTTTTATATAGCTATTTTTATTCAATACTGCTATCTTACCTATCAAAACAAGTAGAAAAACACTTGTAGCTGCACTGCGTTTAATAAAGGGCTAGAATTTTGCCTTCAGATTAACATTTTTCCTTTCACAGAAGATAAGATAAATCAAAGTGGATAAATCTTATCTACATGATTCAGATTTAAAGGTCAAAGATCTCATTCTGACTTCATGTGAATTGTATTTAAGAAATGTTTTAACTAAAAAGCTAAGAGTTACATGAACATAAAGCCATTATATACCAGGCAAGAAGCACCTGGTCCAGCTAGCCAGTATTTTGAGCAAATCCAGGGAGACAGATTGTACTTCCAGCATAACGTAGGGCCAGGCCAAGCCCCATAGCATCTTTGGTGCATCTCAAAATTACTTACTTGAGTCCTGTCTTCACAAGGCTAAACCAGTCATCTGGGTCCACCTCTCCAACACAGTGCTATGCATGGAATAAATGAAAACAGATGTTTACATGTAGTGCACATGGCTTCCACAAAGCTTCCACAGATCAACGAGGCCAGCACTTTCTGTTCGACCCACACACGCCTGTAAGTACTCAGGTAGGAGGATTAAAGGATAACAGAAAAAAAAAAAAAAGAAAAGAAAACTACAATAGTCCTGCATCCTGGTGCAGATGCAATTGCAAATCTTGCTTTGTCAGTCCCAGGAATGAGGGAGCAAATAGTCTCTACGCAACCAGACCAATTTTTCCAAATTCATCAACAAACTTTGATTTTTAACTCCTGAGCACCATAGACTGATTTTCAAAAGCAACAGTTAGCATAAAGTCAGTCTCAAAAACAGCTCAAAATTGCTTCATATTGAAGACTTCCAAAATTACGTTCATTCTGTAAAAGCACTTAAAAGCCATAGAAATAAAAAAATAAAACTCCAACCTGTATTTATGCAAGGTACAAATATAAAAATACAATAGCAAATATCCACACAGTCACAGCTCTGTTAAGAAAGATAAAAAGTCTCACCAACAATTCTTCTAGCTTGAGCAGCATGGACCTCTCTGCTTCTTGCTTGCTCTCATCTTTATTGCTGTTGTACGTGACAATTAATCCCTTCATGCAGGCTGATAACAGGCGCTTCCTCCAAGCATGCACCTCTTCAGAGTTTTCAAGCACTCCAGATATGGCATCTGCCACAATCCAACTGCAGAAAGGTTTTATTGCTGTTAAAATATGCTTTTTGTATCCTAAAGCTGTTCTGCTACAAAGCTTAGAGTGACAGAAACTCAAAAGAAAGTACCACCATTTCAAAGTATTCGTGCACGTGCACAGCTATCTCAGTGCTTTACGGGACAGTTTTTCTCCACTTACGACAAATTCCGATGCAGAGCACGGCCATGGATTTGCCTACCTCTCATGATTTCCTGCTTTCTCGAGTGCAGTAGGGAGCTGGTCCATCAGATTTCGCAGCCATTTGCTTTCTGAAGACGGCAACAATTTTGAAAGAACTTGCAACTTCACTGTGACCTCGTGGGAAGCTTCTGCGGTTAGAGCTACACTGGAAAGCTCTTTCCACAGAGCTTTTCTCAAAACAGGTATAACACCCGAGAGAACTATTAAGAGAGAGCAGAGGGCAAAGGTTTCACCATCGACTGTTAAGCAAAACATGTATAATTACAAAAATCCCAAACCACCCTTCCTGTTTGCTGATCAGTTCTCTTCACTACTTGGATTCCTTCTAGACAGAGCCCGCCTTCCCCATCAAGAATGACAATGTGCCTGTTTCTGTTGCTATTTATATTTCTACGAAAGAAGAGAAACAAAACCAAAGTGATGCTATTCAGCTCAATCCCGGCTCCTAGTTTGGTTGGTAGAAAATTTAACAGCCTTAGCAATTTAAGGTCACTGTTGGTTTGGAGAGTTTTGAACTGTATGATGGCTTAGAAAGGCATTACTGTAGCAAGTTATATTTGGAGGTTTATTTTACAGGAAAGTTTTGGACACTTATGCTTGTAAGAGTTAAAGATGGCAGCCAGCAAAACCACATGGCCATGGCATTCCACTCACCACAAAGTATCCTACCCACATCTGAGACAAAGTTTCTACCTCCTCCTGTAGTAAGCTGAACAGAAAAGTATGGTGACAGAAAGCCAACTTTTATCATATCTACTTATTGCACAGAGGGATCCAAGATGTTAAGGGCACAAAATCTTTAACAGGAGAGCTGGACCTTTGACAACACAAACTGCATTTCACACTCTGGTTCATTTCTCCCTCAAGACTGGGCAAGGGGAAAGCAGCCGTAAGCTGACCACGGAACCCCATAAAAATGCAACAATTATAAAAAATGGTAAGAGGGTACAGCAAACTAAGATTTTTTTTTCTGGCTTGACTGTTGCCTACTGGTTCAGGAAGCTGCTAACCTAGAGCATAAGGCTGCAGGCCACAAGTAGCAGTAAAATACTTGTTTTCAAATTGTTTACAATTGGTATTTACATGACATTTTTGTGGAAAACACATTCACATTTGTAACGGCAACAGACAGCAGCCTGCAGAAGTGTCAGCTCATTCATATTTACAATCCATTTCACTAGCATTCCAACAGATAGATTTAAAAAATGTTTTACACCTTCCAGTTTCTTTTCCTGGATTCATATGGGCACACAACAGATTTTTAGGCAACAGAACCACACATGCCTTGAGATTTTAAGTAGTACGAAAATCAGGTATTTGTATAACACCAAAAAATATATATATAATTACAGAATATTGTGCTTAGCATCATAGATTTACAAGATATCTGAACATCTAAAACATCATATAGCATCAAATCTGTTAGTATCTCTTAAGGTTTGGCCCAGTGATGAATTTAAGACACGAGGCCAAAAACATTCCCTAGCCTATTTTGCTAGGTAAGTCACTTTATCTGAAGCACAGTAACAAAAATGTTTCCTAGAAATCCTTCTAAATAATATTTAATCATGAGAACGGATTAGCTGTGGCTTTACCTGTGGAAGGACGAGTGAAATCATATTGCTCTCTGTATTGCAAATACACATTCAGGAGCGGAAGAAAGCTCTCCATATTTTTCTTGAAGTACTTCTCAGTGGCCCTGTTCAGACACCACAGCTCAAACTGCAGCAGGTGAGTCCTGCAGTGCTTTATCAGCATGGCCACAATGGCAAGGGAGGTTTCTGACCGCTGTGTAAGGCAGTGAACGTGCACCTCTACATCGACCGCGTGCGTGAAGACAGGCTCTCTTTGGAGGGCCTCAAGGAAGACTTTATCCAAATCTTCGCTGGCTGATGCTGACATGAGGATTCCCAAAGCTTTAATGTGCTCTGTGGACAGCAGCAGTTCTCCTCTTTGAGGCTGCCTGCGGTAGCTTTCCGTGAGGAGCTGTACCAAGAGCTGCCCGTAGAAGCTCAACTGCTTCCCTTTCCTAGGGGATTTTTCAGATTTCTGAGCAGTCAAGCTTGTCTCTGGAAGCTGCAGCATAGTTAAAGTGATCTCCTTCAGCTGAGCTGCAGCCATGTATTTATGTAACTCCTGCACAGCCTCCAGCTGCTGGGACCTCTTAGGAGGGCCTCCATTTCCTTCCTTGCCCACACTCCGTAGCTCTTTCAAGACACTTCTCGTGATAGCTTCAAAATACTTCGATAATACATGTATGTGATCCATGCGCTGCAATATTGGAGCACCCACTTTCAGAAGCTGGAGCACCCCAGAATTGAGGTGAGCCGACAGGAGCTTCACAGTCACAGGGTTTAAACTGTGCTGAGGAAGAGCACGTTGTTCTAAAGCCAAGAACCAGCTTTCCAAAGTAGGATGTTTGAAAATCAGCATGAGCATATCTTCTAGTGTCTGTAACAAATGGTTGCAACAATATCACTGAGTGAGTAATTACAGTTTGGAAGAAACCATTCATTTGCCCATATTCCACAACATATATATATTTATCATTCCTGGACATGAAATTGTCTATTTACTGGTCAGAGGATAAAGTTACTAATAAACTACAAGCGTGTTATTGCAATTATTCCAACATTTATGATGTGGGAGGCATGCCCTCATTCTGTTATGAAAAATAATTCACATTTTTACCAACATTAAGCAACATCTCATAATTATTCCTTGAAATATAAGCAACGCTTGCAGACTGGACTAACACAAACCGTTTTCTCCTTCTGCTCATTCATCGGAACAGAAACCAAACAGCAAAATGACCGAGGCCCAGTGAAAAATACACTGTACATACTGTGAAGTATACAGTGTATATCCTTTCCTCAGCCTCACTGACACCTTGACAAAACTTACTGCAATGCTTCTACAAAGCAGTAAAATCCTATGCAAGCCCCTTCACAGTAAGCACATAACAAATGTACTGCAACCCTCACTGAAATCCCTGAACTCCTCTGCTAGTTCCTTTTTTCTGTCACACTCTGCTGTGTGAGAACAATCAGCCAGCTTCATGCCTTGGTGATTGGTGCAAATAAAACCTCAACATAATCTGCGCTCAGGAATCACTAATCTCTAAACTCAAAAATCATTAATCTCTAAAAGTCTTTGTTTTCCATAGAGAATAAATCAAACCAAAATCTGCCAACACATAAGATTTTGGCCTGTATATCAATGGGACTCTATACCTTATCATTTGAAGACTCCATCACAATCAGAGCTTCCACATCCATGAAGAGATCTGATTCAGCCTGAACTTCTTCTTGTTTCAGACGATTATCCGACTCCACCTGATTGCCCTGGCACAACAAGCTGTTCAGCAAGTCCACGTAGAGATGGAGAAGGTGAGGACCACAAGTTTTACTAAGCTGCGAAAATACAAACACCTAGGAAGTTGAGAAAAGAAGGGGAGGGGTATAGGAAACTAATAATGCAACAATTACCAGAACTAATTAAGAGCTTCCTAGAACATAACCTTTCTGGGAAAAGGAAAGCATGTTTGCAGTAGAAACACGATCTTAAGAAAACTCTCAAGATATCAAGCAAACTTCTATAGATTTTCATGTGTGTTCATCTATAGTGTGATTTCTTATATAATATGGACTGAAAAATATCATTCTCCAGAAAGGCTTCTTATGGTAGACTCAAGCACTGAATTCATATCTGCACTATACATCATGCATAAATTAGTAAAGGCAGGCCACAGAAAGCAAATCAAAGACTCTTCAACAGTCAGAAGGACAGATGCTAGTCTACAAACTAGGTGGAGCTTTGCAGGTGCTCTTTAGCCTCAGTGAAAGCTGAGCATGTGAAAAAGCTGCAGAAGAGGAACCCTAAGTTTTAACAGAGACATAACTTACACATGCTGCATTGAAATAAAACAAAAAGCCAACAAATTCATCAAAACATCACTCTTACACTGCCAAAGTTCTCAACTGTGGTTTTCAGGTACAGTAACACATGTTTTACTCCTAGCAAAAGCTGTTCAGCTGGGAGCTGGGAAGCCAAGTCTCTCAGTTTTGCCTGGATGTCATCTTCTAGTAAGGTACTGTTTCCTCTCTCGTAGGCTTTCTTAAACAAAGTAGTAAACACAGAATCCAGGGCCACAGCAGGTTCTTGGCATACGTCTTTGCGCTTTTTAAACTGTTTAAAATGGAAGGAACACAGGAGAAAATAAGTCCAAGAGCATTTAAGAGTATTGTTCAACAGCTCTTGCAGCCACCCAAAAGTGCTGTCCTCAATACACATGCAAAATCCTGGGCTGGTGCTACTCCAGGAGCACATGAGTGCAAGCCCACAGGCACAGAGTTGGTTCTCATGGGGAATCAACACATGGTCACTGCCTGGTTAACACAAAAGCACAACCACCTCAGCACAAACTGCCCTTTGCAGTTTCCAACCCATCCCTAGGAGGACTGTAACAAGTATACAGGTTCCTCTGGCTAAAGCGAAGGGGCAGAGTCTAACAGGGAACAAGGGTGCTGGTGCTTGAGTGATGGCCTAGCACCCATGAGTCCTAACTTCACTTCCCAACCACACATACTTCTCACGTTGCTAAAGAAAAGGCCTTCAGCAAATTCATGTCCCCTACAGTGACCATGAAACAACAAAGGCTTAGTCTAATCTAAGTGCACTTTCTGACAGAAATGTAACCTTCATAAACTGAGTTTTTAATAGCTCCGACTCAAGCATTCAAGTGGCTTCAAGCATTCCATACCACAGACTCCCGACTTTGCTGGGGGATCCACAGATTATAGTACTGGTTAAACTGGTAGAGCTGAGGATACTTAGAAACTTTCAAGGACTGCAGATCTTTATCATAGAGCTGGAACATCAAGCAGAGAGCAAGGGGATCTCTCTGAGAGTGTAGGAGGTCAGTGAAAACGGCAACAAGATATTCTACGATGTGTACTCCTAGGAAAGCAAAACAAAAAAAACGAAGCCTCTGTTAACAGAAGTAATCCGCATATGCATGCACATTAAGACCACCCTCTCCCTTAAGCCCTGGGCAACACTGTTTATATATCATTTATTTTAGAACTATTGAAATGAATTTGGAAGTATTTGACAAGCTAGAACGAACTACCTGAAAAATAACACCTCCATACAGCAGTCCTTGGTGTATATAAATAATCCCACCGCAGGACACATGCTTAGGTTGGCCTCTTCCTTCACAACAGGTGCAAAACTGTGCCTGAACTGCATTATGCTATGCTATACTTGTCTGTATTTTGACCAACAGAGACTCTAGCCCAGCAGCATGAAAGAGCTGATTTGATCTATACTGAGGGGAACATACTCAGGGTTAACACACACAGGTTAAATATGGAAGATTTGCCTTTCAAAACTGTGAAAGGCCTCCCCAAGGAGCTCGGCAGCCACGTATACAGGGGACTTGGAGAGGAGCTCTGGGGTTGGCAAAAGCAGAGGGAAACCTGCCCTGAGGCCAAGAGCTGCCCCCATGACTCTTCACTCCACTAGATCCTTTTCTCAAGGAGATGGTCAGCAACATTTATCCCTGAACTTCATCTCTGAGGTAGAAATTTTCCTTGGAAAACTTTATCTATTTCCTACATACTCAGCAGCCCAATCCTTTCTCCCTACTAACCGACTAAGCACAGCTGTTGACACTTCCTCATGGTCTGCACATTCTGTGTTTAAACACTTTTATTGAAGCACAACCGCCACCAGGTTGTGGCTCTCCATACAGGGTCACTGTCCCTACACTGGTCCTCAGCATCCCTGTGCTGTGCTCAGAGTGGATCCATGCCTCATCTGGGGTCACTTTCCTCCTCTACTTCCCTGTATCTTGGCGGAGAAATGTGGGCTCTGTTGTTCTGACCTGGGCAAATTTGCTTTCCCACCAAGTTCACCAGAGTCAAGTGTCAGTTATTTCTCTCTCTCTTTCCACTTTAAGAAGAGATAGCTTCCCTAATGTCAGAAGAAAAAGACAGATATCTCAAACTTTAACAATTCTCTTCAGCAGCGAACACACTGAATCCTAGCCTCCTCCTGCTTGAATGGGAGAGAATAAAATGTCCTAGAGAGCTCACTAGGTAAGAGTGACCCAACTTTCACTCTCAAGGATGATATATAGAAACACAAACTTCTGTACCTTTTTCATTTTCAGTCTGAAGCAGCAATTTATTCCTGGCTTCTAATGCAGCAGGAACAACAGCACTAAACGGAAATGTTTGGATAACAGTGTCTTCATTTAAAGTGAATCCAATTTCCTCATCTAAGCCATCACTGCTCTCGACTAGGACATCCACCATATCCAGGACATCTATTAAGTAAAGATAAAAATAAATTAAAGGATTCAGACCAACTAGAACCCAAGAAGAACAGAATGCAACGTTCAAGGAATATGAAGCAGCTTCTGAATCTCCAAAGAGGAAACAGGACAAAATACATGTTTGCCTAGCTCCTAAATGTACAATCAACTGCACAGTGTGATTAAATTTAAGGTCTGGCTTTCAAAACTGCTGTCCAACATACTGAAGTGAGGGAAAAGGTGGATCACCTGCTGCTATCATGACAGCATTGGATAAGACCATAAGAGCATAATGGTGACAGGAAATACCTACGGGAAGGTAGGAATGAAGCAGCTACTTCTCCATCAAGAGAACTGCCTGTGCAGTCCTTGAAAAACTTCCCAGTTCTGTATGGCCAGATAACCAAACCTTGGCTGAGGAGGAGCTTTAATATATGAACAAATTACCATATATTTCATGGCTGCCATTAAGTCCTGGTAACACAGTCAACCCAAGGCCACTTATCAATCCAGTACTGAGTTGTACTGGTACTCAGTTACCTTGCATTTATGTAATTCAAAATCCTATGCATGGAGTTAAGTTACAGTAAAACAGCTAGCACATGGTAAGTTGTCCAGCTGCCTGCTGAGAGTAAAGGTTTCCTTGGGCAACTCTGGAGACAGGAAATGCAATACATTTCACCTCAGTTAAAGACTGATGAAACAGAAAAGCAACCTGAAACTCTGCTAAAGCAGCATAACTGTATCAGAAATTATTTTCTGGGGCAACCAGATAATTTTGCAATTCAGACTTTGCTTCCAGTACCAAACATGCAGTTATAAGGTTAAATCCTACAGGTCCTCACATAAGCAGGATTTCTATGATCAGAGTTGGCAGTTTGCCCAATTAGGGCCACAAGATCTAGCATGAAGCCTTGAAAATCTCTGTTGCTGTGGGAATCACAACATACCATCAATGTGAGAGATGGGAATGCTGACATTATCAGAGTCTTGTTTAAACATATTAGCTTGGAGCATGCTGGCCTCCTGAACAAGGTCTGCTGCCTTATCTGTATACGGATAGGGATTCGTCACCAGTTTCAGCAGAATCTGTTAACAAAGGTTGAGAGATAAATGTAAGTGTCAGGCTAATGAGGTACACAGAAATCACATCTAGTTAAGAGAGACTCTAGGCTAGAAGTGGTTGAAATCTGGGAAAAAAATAAGAGGACAAACCATATATGCTTTTCTAGGAATGTGGATCCACTGCTGTGAATGAGATACTGGACAAAGAAATATCGATGGCAATTTCACACCTAGAGTGCTACCACAGAGAGAGTCCCTGGGGAATCACAACTAAAAGGGAAGCATGGGGCTTTTAACATTCTGAAAAGTAAACTGGACATGTCTAATTGTAATTTACTTAAGTCTAATCATTTTGTCTGATATTATCACATAAAAAAGAAGAGATAAGAGCTAGCCCCCCCACCATTTTGCCCTCATGTCAGCAAGTGCTGTAAATCATTTTATCTTTCTGAATTCATTTTCCCCAAATCATTTCACCTTCCTCCCACCCTGGACAACAGAGATGTCAGCTCTGTACAAAGCATAACAGTCACTGCCTTCCTCAGCATTCACTCACAGATCTTTGAAAGGTTTCTCAACAATAGCAATAAAGTAATTAGTTTCCATTAACGCTATTCTTGGCATTGTTTATCTAGTTAATTTGAACAGTTACCCTTTCCAAAAACTGAATCACTGCTTCCTTTTTGTCTTCTTTTGTATTATCCAAGTGTTCCAGCCAGATTGAAAGTTCCTTCCATGTATACTCAAACACTCCACTGTCACGTAAAACCTGCCCAGAAAAGTGAAGAGAAACACAGATCCTTTTATATAACAGCTTTAATGTTTCACTTGTCTTAGAAAGAAAAGAGGAATGAAAAGAAATATCTGCTATTCACACATTCCCTCAGTTCAAGAGGCCTTGTTCCCACTCACAATGGTCACTAAACATACAACAGAGCCTCAAGCTGAACATAAGCCTTAAAAAACCCGTGCAAGGCATGTTTTAAAAACAAAAAATAGCCTCCCAAATCTATGTCAATTGGCTTCAGCATAAGGCTCACTTTTGTGGCTCTTTTGCTTACTACCCTCTCAGCAAGAGTCAAAAAGTGAGGTAAAAGCATGTTACAGGTTAAGAATGAACTTTTATTCACGTGCATTTGGAATACAGGACTTGTATGAGCACCTAGGACGCAGCTCCTGGGCCTAAGCATGCACCAGGGTCAGTATCCAGATCTGGATCTGAAGGTTGCTGTGCTCTCTGCCACTTCATTGCTCAGAGCCCACTGTGCCGCGGTGCAAAGGAAAAGAACTGGCTGTAGGACAGTGCCACGGCTAGGGGCTAATCCATCTTGCTGATCACTGCCTGCAAAAGAGCCCTACTGAGTACAGCTGTTCTTCTTTATGGCCATGCAATACAGCAATAAAAAAGGAAGAGAAAAGAATGTTAAACCCTCAAAAACAGCTGGTCGAGGGTTTTTTAAACACTGCTAATAAAATAAAAAGAAAAATTGCTGCTCAGTTAAGCCAAAAGGAGGTTACTTTTGCTTAAAAGCGTAAGGCAGACCAGTATACAGACAAATAAATAGTAGGTTCTGACCACAGCAAGATTCAAGGAGAAACATGGGCATACTTGGGAACAGTGTGGGTAGAGGGGTGGACATAATTTTACATCCATGAAGGAATAGGCGTTATCATATTTAGAAGTTTTTGCCCACATTTATCCTTTAATTCAGGCTCTTAGCTGCAGCATCTAAATTAGGAACTTAGTGACCCCACACTCCCTTCGTGAGAGAAAGACAAAGGAGGAGAAGGAGCAATTGCCATGTACGGGGCAATCGAGATGACAGCTGATTTGAACTGCACACCTTGGTCAGAACCCACCCTTACTCTCACTGACAGAAGATACCTTGACTAGCTTCCTATACGTGGTACATAAGCTAAAATCTGAAGTTACATGGGATCAATCTATGCCTGTTTTTCTCTACACACAAAATACAGAAAAAGCTACCCCAGTTACACTGATCATTTACTCTGTGTACACCATCAGCAGCTATAAAAATAACCTCTACTAACAAGAAGATGACAGGATAATTCATTTAATAGGAAAAAAAAAAGGAAATGATTATTTTTTAAATAATTAGCTATTTTTGGCAGAGTCTCAAAATAGAAATATACTTGCAATGCTCATGAAAATAGGTAGGAACAGAATGTGAAATCTGAAAACATGCTTTTCAATTATATGGCACTGTGTTGAAAATAAGCAAAACACACTCATTAACATCTATTCTTAGCAGCCTTTCTGAACTAACTGCCCTAACTTCTCTGCTTCTGTCTTCTCTTCAGAGAAAATGTAAAGGGCTGAAAGTAAAAGAGGAAATAAGAATGAGTCAGACAGCCCACGTCTCTACTCAGCAAAAGAATCCAAACACACTGGAAATGCTATGCTGGGTGGGTTGTGATTGAGATATTCATAGCTGCGAGACAAAGCTGCCCTGCCTCTGCCAAGGTCTGCACGTTGCACTGTGTAAGTGCCTTCATGGAGCGGGAGACAAAATGCAAGCGATGTCCTTAGGCTCGAGGTGCTCTCTAACTGCTGCCCTCTTACCAATCATGTTCCAGCAACCTCTCTTCCTGGAAATGCCTACAAAGAGAGGCCTCTTAGTGGCCCAAGCCTTGAAACAGAGCTCCTGAGGAAAGCAGTCACTCTCCAAAACACAGCCTCGTGCAGCTAAAACCTAATTCAAACACTCTACCTCTGATTGCATGGACTGAGTATTATAACTGCAACCCACGATTGAACTGCAGCAGAAGTTAAATGCAGAAAGCTGTGTGGAAATAAATACATATGCTCTTGTTACCACAAGGCTCTGCACAAAATTGCCATGGTTCCCACTGGCTTAGGTTGCTTAGAAACTTGCAGGGCAGCTTTGGGGGTTGTTTTTGTTATTTTCTTAATATTGGTCTTGATTCATATTTAAGTATCTAAACGTGCCCTGATAAACCTTTATGAAGGTTTATAAAGTCACCTTCTCCCTTCATGAAATCTGCAGTTGATTAGCACTTCTGAAAAGACAAATAAAACTTATTTAAATGCACAGAAGGGGAATGCACATTCATTGATTTTAAGACTAAGATACTGGCTGTTTCATTGCTAAGACTGTAACCAAAATGGACTATTTTGCAGGGGCACAGCAAACTAGCTATGTATGAGGCTTCAGAAAGGAAGAAGCAATAAAGTACAGATTACATATCAGGATAAAAATAAATAAGTAGGCAGAAGTCAAAACTAATCTTTGCTTGATCAGTATCGACACAAACTACAGCAGCTTATTACTGCATCACAACATTTAATTGATCCTAGAAAACAGGAATCATTAAAAAGCTATTTTCCTCACTGTTCCTTTTCACCAACAATGGCAGTAAATTCAGTCGACAGTATTTATTTTCACAAGGTGTTTAGCTCACACTAGGTAGTCTACAGCAATTTCCAAAAACAATCACAGAAAATGGTGAAAAATAAAGGCTTTGCAGGCCACACATCTTCCTTTCCAAAGCAGCAAGGAAGCTGCCCTAACAGAAATTTTTAGAATCCTGAAATTTCAGATGAATGGAACATAGTGAACATCTTTCATATTCATATTTCAGATCAAAAGCTTACCTTAATGATCAGTTTTTTGGTTGATATTTTCAGATGAGAACGGTTACTTGTAACAAACATTTTCATCAATAAATAGAATACCGATTTTTCGCCAGACACCTTCTCTGTCTCAGAGGCATCCTAAAAGAACAACATATTAAAATTCCCCTGAAGCAGTAATACAGTACAGTACTATATTGCATTGAGATAGATATCTAACAAAGGGATAGTATTTTATAAACTTGTCCTAAAATATCAAGGCCAGAACTGAGTGGGATGATTTATGCTACTTTTGCATTCAGTGAGGTAGTAAGATTAGTGCAATAGCTTTTGAAAAGTGGAGGAAGTGAGGAACAGCAGAAATACCAAGTAACCTGAGGGTGCAAAATAAAATCACCTTCCTTCACAATCATCCATTCTATCTTATAGACCTGTCGTCTTGTATTTCTTGAAGAGATTGAAATTGATCCCCAAAGAACAAGAAAATAGTGCCAGTTGTAGGGTCAAAGGGATGCTGAACACTTTCCAAATGCCAAATGACACTCCTTAAGCCATTTATCCTGTTTTTCTCAGTGACTTGCATTTGATACCTAACAAGCCTAACTCTCAACCCTGCCAAATTTGGCTTTTATCTCTTCTGTTAAAACCTGTCTACTAAAGAGGGCACAGACAATAATATACTTCAATAGTGCTCCTCACTGCTCCTTCAGGACTGACTGGCAAGGACAGAACACAAAATTTTCTACTAGGCAGGGTCACTATCACAAGCCCAAGTGTCTCTGCTTTCCCTCAGCTATGCCACTCCTTTCTCCAGACATCTACAGCAGGCTCTCGACAGCATTTTTTTACAGGCCTATAGTAAAGAACTTACTAGAATTTACTAGAAATCAGAGACAGGAGAGACATGCTTAAGAAATGATATATTTCTCACTGAGTATTGATGGAATTACTCCCCTTGCTCCCTTGATTGGTAATTTCACATTTTCCAACCAAATCGGTAAGATCTCATTCTAGCCCGTCTCCAAGGACACGGAGAGCTAAAGGGACTTTTCCCAGTCCACTTCAGGGGAGACAAAAAATTCTGTCCCCATGCAAAAACTTTTCAGCTCAGAAAGGTTTCTTCACTAATGTTGAGGCTACAATTTCTACTGGCATACAAATCAGGACTAGCTCAAAACCATTCAGGGACAGATATAAAGATCTGAGGACAACAGGCCAAAAAACCACAAACTTGCCTTGAATACTCTTACCTGTACTCTGAACCAGGCGAATTTATTTGCAGGCAGTTCCAAGGCCACCTTCAGTATATGGTACTGCAGGACAGGAGGGATCTCCTCTCGGAGGCCCTTTTCAGTGACGATACCTTAGGTTTAAAAGCAATATAATCAATTTTGGTATTTCTTCCTGAGAATACCAAAACCAGAAACCCTGTAAGGTTTCAAAACATCAGTGTGAGACAAGCAGGTAATTCACAGACTTTTGAGCCATGTGAACCATCACTACCAACAGATCAGTCAATAAAATTGTACCAGCTGTTTAAACACACATTGTTTAGTAAAGTAAAAAAAGAAAAAAAAAGAAAAAAAAAACAAAAGATGTTGCCTTCAAGTGTACTTTCTGACAGGGAGAGGGAAAGAAATGACAGAACTCTCAAAGTCACATCTGAAAGAAGGACATTTCATGATTTTCAACATCATACTCTGCCATATTCCCTTTCATCAAAATTAATATCTAGGCTCGCTTTATTAACTTTTTGAGAGAATGACATTTTCTTTTCCATCCTATTTCATTTCACTGTTTCATACTGTAACAAAGAGTCTTTCATCTCATGAAGAGGTGTCCTGCCTTTTGTCCATTTTGGAAAAAAAAAGGCAGGTCAAAATCAGAAATAATGGGATAAAGAGGGTATGTGAGTCACCAAGTACTCAAGCCAACTAAATATGCTTTGAAAGGGAGAAAGAAACCTACGCATGAGGCTGTTTATTCATTTAAAAGCTCTTTTTTCACTATCAGACTTTAGTTAAGGTATTTACCTAACTCCCATTCGTGTGCATCCCAGAACACAGACACTGGTGGCCTACAGGCCCTGCTGGCTCACGGAAAGCAACCCTGCACAAATGGCATTTTTCTTTCTCTTCCAGTCTCAGTTATAAATGGTTGCATTCCAGTATAAGCAGTATTGGAAAATCTTGCCTACCACCCATAAATCATGGCTCACCATCCTTACTACATTAAATGGGTACAAAATGTATCCATTTACTATATCTGTACAAAGAGGAATTCCCCCCTGCGACATCAGATGCCAAAATACAGCAACACTGCTAATGAGCTTCCTTATAAAGATTTAGATAACATAAAGTAACACCATGCAGGATACTGCTATTCTCCCCACACGCCGAAAAAAAATCATGGTAAAAGTAAAACAGATAAGCCAAAAACTCAACAGGGTAGCAAATGAAAAAAAACACTTATACGTTGAGATTTTTCCAGAGGAGACTGGTTACTCTCCCTCCAGCCCAAACCTTCTATGAAGCATATGGTTAAAAAAAACACATTTCTACCATTGCAACTATGAAGAGTTTGGAAAGTTTGACCTAGATGAAGGGACAGAGTGCACCCTCAGCAAGTCTCCTGATGATACAGGAGTGACACCAAAGGGCTGGTGACATTCAGAGGGACAGGCTGGAGAGATGGGCAGAGGGAGGGGAATCTTATGAGGTTCCATAAACATAAGTGCAGAGCCCTGCACCTCAGAGGAATAACTCCAGGCACCAGGGCAGGCTAGGGGTGACCTGGAAAGCAGCTCTGCAGAGAAGGAGCTGGGGGTCCTGGTGGACAACAAGTTGCCCACTGTGCCCCTGTGGCTAAGAAGGCCAATGGTAGTCACCCAGTGAGCAGCTCTGGTACAGGTCGAGCCCTTGCGAACCTGCATCTGGAGTGCAATGGGCTCCCCAGTACAGGAAAGTTATGGAGCTACCGGAGGGAGTCCAGTGAAGGGCTCCTAAGATGATTAAGTGCCTGGAGCATCTCTCATATGAGGAAAGGCTGAGAAAGCTGGGACTCTTCAGCCTGGAGAAGTCCGATGGGAGATCTCATCAATATGTGTAAATATCTCAAGGGAGAGTGTAAAACGTTGGGGCCAGCTCTCTGCCACAGTGCCTAGAGATAGGGGATGAGAAGCAACGAGCATATGCTGATTTACAGGAAGCTCCCTTCGAACACAAGGAGAAACTTCTTTACTGTGAGGGTGACTGAGCACCAGAACAGGTTGTCCAGAGAGACTTTAGAGTCTCCATCCTGGGCAATGTTCAAAAGCCACCTGGACACAGTCCTGTGCAATGTGCTCTAGGTGACGTTTCTTGAGCAGGGGGGTTGGAGCCGGTGATATTCAGAGGTGCCTTCCAACCTCAACCCTTCTGTGATTCTATGCAATAACTTACTTGCAATGGATTACTTACATAGCCCTCCAGAAATTTTGCACCCCTATTCTCAATGAGAGATGGATATATGTTTTCCTCAGTAACATTCGAATTAAATTCCCATAGAGGAAAAAAAAATTCTAAGGATAGCATCATATGCCTAGAAGACGACTGTATTGCAATCTTTGTCTTACAACAATGAGCAGAGCAACTAGAGATTTTGAGAGGACAGTGTCCCAGAGCACTGCACAAAAAGCAATAATAAATGGCAATCCAATGAAGAAACTAAAATAGGTTACTTTTTGAAAACTGTTCTTTGTTTATGCAGTAAATAAGAAGTAGTAGTGAACATTCCCATTCTCCTGGGGACTTTGCAAATAGCCAGTAAAAGCTGTGAAGATAATAGAAATACTCATAGCATACCTTTAAGCAGCTTGCTAAAATCGAAGTTGCTGCGTGCTACCAAGTGGGGCACGACCTTCTGATAAAGGCATATGACCTGCAGTAGGGCAGCTTTCAGAAAGAGCGTTTCAGCATCATCTGAACCTAAGTAAAAAAAAAAAAAGAGTTAACATATCTGGCTTTACACCAAGAAAACACAGTGCAGCACCTGTCCATTAATGCATATTATCCAGCATGAGAATTACTGACTGTATGTCCGGACTTGCCTATGAATTGACCTGTTATCTTCCTGACTTTACAAAGTAAAAGGAAAAAAAATTATTATGGGATCCCTAGTTTCCTCCCCCGATATTAGTGACTGAATACTTTCTAAACTAAATCATCTTATTCACTCCTTGAATTGACAGTTGCCATTTTAAATTTGATTATAAAGAGCTTACAAGACAGACAATACAGAAACAATTTCAATATTTTGACATCCATTAGAAGATTCCAATCAGTCCCACTGCTGTTCAATTTAAGGTTGAACAACAGGAAAAAAAAAAAAAAAAGATGATGATGATCTTAGCAGGATGTTGGTTTTGAAGGGATGTATTTTTAGCCAGTGTCAGGCAGGTTTGACTGTGACAAGTACCAGAGACAGTACAATAATTAATAATTAAATTATATATATATTACTAATTCACTACATCAGTTAAAAGCTTATTTCTCTCCCTTCTCATATTCAAAATAATACCTTCCAAATATGAACTCCCAAGAGGAGGAAGCCAACAAAAATCTGTATGAGAAAAGCACCACCCCCAGCTAAGGCAGCCACTTACTTGCACAGAAAAGCCATTTCAACAGCTAAATATTCTCTTAACAAGAGGACACATAAAAGCTACTTGTTATCCAGTCACTAATGAAAGGAAGCAAAATAAACGAAAGACATGCAATTTTTTTTACACCTATGTGTTTTCCTGGTAATGGGGTCCGCCTCTGGGAACCATGAAGAACTGGATGGATGCCATGCATAAACTTTGCCAGAGTCTCAAATTCCATTAAAAAAAAATCTAGTTGTCATACTGCAAATAAACCTGTAAAACGTGAACTAAGGGTTATTGATACCATGTTATCACTCCTAGTGTGCAGAGAAACTAAAGTAGCAGTTTGTCTGACATGAACTACTTCATTGGCCTCAGGAGGCGTGCTACCAATCACGATCCTTAGGGTGTCAGTGTTGACAGTTTATTTTGCTGCATGAAGCCATCCCTGCTAAGGACACACTGTGTTGATCCCCATGCTCTAGAATATCTCAGTGTGGAGTATGCCTCGAGAAGGACATGAAGCTGTAAGTTTATCTTCAGCCAGTAACTAAAACATTTCAGGCTGCTAGCTAAGTTACAGAGAGTGCTAAAAATTCCAGTTTCCTGCGATGGGACTATGAAAGTATGTCTTTTAGGGGCGGCACTGTTTAATTTTTTGTGAAAGTACAACCAAACTCTTCACTCCATCCCTCTCTCCCTCCTCAAACGCATGCACATTTCCATCCTTACACTACAACAATACAAGCAGTTGCGCAGCCACAGTAGCTAACAAAGCCATAAATAAAAATGACCTCACGGAAAAGTTTGACTAGAGAAGGAAAAAATACTAAAAAGAGTTATTTTTCAGACAGATCAGTCTCTCTGTCCATTTTATTGTGTGGCTCCAAAATGCTCTTGCTGGCGCAAGAGGGGCAGAGCGAGCAAAGTCAAGACTGCATAACATCTAATTAGTAATGCCAACGTATTTGCCAAGTCATGTCCTTAAGCAATTCTGACTGGCCACAATTAAACTGCCCCAAGAACAGAACAAAGCAAAGATGAACAGGAAATGCTTGCAGTGACCTCCTGGGCTCTGCCTTATATGGGACAACAATTTCACGACACTCATTCACACATGGATGAGAAGGGATGACTCCACCTGCTTTGCCTACCATGTGGTTCTGCAACTTCTGCTACCTCAGCCACAGCCTTGGCAGCGGAGGTGGCGCTTTCCTTCTTCTCCTCTTGTCCATCATGAAGTTCTCTCTCTTGCTTCAGAAGGGACTGCCAGACAGCCACTATATTGTTCATGTCTGGTAAAAGCTAGAAGCAAAAAGGGTAGATCACAAGCTACTCTGATTCAACAAACCCATGATAGGTATTGCTGCTCTTCAAAAAGTTCGCAATTGAGCTTGTAAGCCATCTGAAAAATGATCTGAAATCAAGTAGTTTGATCTGTAGAACATAATACTGAAAAGGAGATTTTATTGACCAAGTTACCAGCTAAATGTTTAAACATTTTTCCCCATCTTCATGATGTACTTTCAACCCAATTTTCAGCTTGTCTAGTAGCTTATGAACCCTGCTAGCTACAGTTATTTAAACTAAAAGGTGTTTTCCTCCTGAAATTGCTCTTGGCATGTAATAGTTACATTTGCAGCACAGTATCTGCCAAGGTTACACATTTATTTCACAACAAAATGTCACTATTATTGCCATTGACCAGCTTTATTAGAAAATGTGGTCTACTACCATAACAGCGGTAGTACATGTCTTTCAAGTCCCCTACCCACCAAAATATGTTTTATCTACTGGCTTCCAAGTTGCAATCACCTGGGCAGAAAGTGCAGCACAGGAACAGTTACTTGCCACATAATGACTCATTCTACATCCTGACTTTCTTTCTACTTCATACCTTGCTGATGGCTTCTCTGTAGAGCTGTATGAATTCCTGCATCATTGACGGTGTGTAGATTTCTGATTTTTGCCAAATCTCTTCATTCAGACAGTATTCAATATTCTTCAAGGCTCTTCTCAGAACTGCTGATATAAGGGATAGGATGCTGTGCTTCACTACTTTGCTGGGTAACTAAGAGAGGGAAGTCAAATTAACGATGCTTCAGTGCCTCTTCTTATGCTTTCCGCATAATCCATATTCTGAATATATACTAACATTTACAAATAAATTATTTACTTCCTAAAGCTTGGCTTGCAGGGAAGAATCTGTAAGTTTCTGATTTCCATCCCAAACTGCTGGTGAGTATTGGCAGAACTGGGATTTTTGAATGGCTCTTGGAAGCATTATCAATAAGATTTAATTCATGTTTCAGTGCTTCCCCCTACCAGCTTTACACTGGGACAGAGAACATAAACATATGCAATTAAACAACTTAAGAAATTTCTTGGATGACTAATTCAATTATACAGTATTAACAAGGACAAAAAAAAATCCAGTGAAATATTAGAAACTGCTCTTACATTTAGTCCTTGGGTGAACATTATTTTATTGCACACTGCAGGGATAGTTGTTACCATCACCATAGAAAGCAGCTTCGGAAGAGGAATAAATTCTGTAGTCTTAAAAGAATTGGAAATCTCTGGTTGAGCCTCATAGATCTGAAACAAAAATAATATCTTAATCAAAATTGACATAATTCTGCAGATAACAGTTTCTTCTGGGAAGCATTTTACAAAAGAGCTTCTGTTTGTCTGAAGTAGTTACAACAGTACCAAATGCCAGTTTCTATGAAGCGGTGCTACAGAGCATGCCCCAAATTGCTATTCAATTTTCTAGCTAAGCTTCTATGGTGCTTCATCTTGAAAAACAGACGATCAACAGGTTTCCCATTGCTTCTTATGCCAATTCCTTCTTTCGCGTTGTACCTAAATGTTGACAAAGTCTTCTGCTCTGACATCAGCTTTTTACCAAATGACCTTCCCTATGTCTCCACATTTTTAAGCAGCTGTGACTCTGAACCATGCCTCATTTTTCTTAGCGCTCACAGAAAACAGGATGCCATTTCCTCCTTCCTCTCCCCCTCTATTTACTATCTTCAACATTTAAGGGCATTCCACTGCTTCTTTCCCAACATACCTACAGCCATTGGCATTGCTATTTCAGAAGCATTAAGTTCTTCCTGTTTAGCTCACTTAAACCTCAATCACCTAACTTCTCCACCACTAGACTGGTTTGTTTTTAAGTCCATGATTTATTTGAAATACTGTGCCTGTCTGCTTTTAAGTAATTTCAATAAACTCTCTAAAACAGCAGTGTGCATTTACAACTGAGAATACAATGTATCTTCGGACACAGGAAACTGCACATCATCCACCAACCCAGCTGATCAACTGCTTAGTTCCCCTGCAATCAAGGAACTCTTGTTACTTGTCACTAGCAAGACTTGAACTAAGAACACGAACACAAAAATAGTTTACATTTAACATGGTGACATCACCAGCTGGCTGGGCCCATGTACTGGACAGCACACAAAAGCAGTAAGTTTTACACAGCACATTGTAATAATGATCTGTAAACAACTGCAATCAAAGCAGGCTTCCCTGTCTACTACCTTTGCTTAACAGCTATTCTTGAGGCCAGGAATGTTTGATTTACCATCACACTTATTATGATTTTGTGTAATTTTGCACTACTGTTTAACTAAAATTACTTCAGTTCTGGTGTGGGGAGAAAGAACATTAGAATTTCTGTAGAGCAGGGCTGTGCACCATTCACACTCTTACCTTTTTCAGTAACCTGATATTGTCCATCCAAGCCGACTTCAGTCTAGGAACAAAGGAATACTGGGTGTCCTTAAAGTACCTGTTCAATAAATCTGGGCATACTTTAAAAATATTCACCACAAGCTCAGCAACCTTTTCATCTTCTGTTGCAGTTTTTAAACCAAGCACAAAACGCAGAAGCACCACATTTCCTCCTCTGGAGAAGACAAGAAACATACTTTAAAACCTCTACTTGGATATTTTACATGTGATGTTAACCCTACACCTCCAAATCAATATTGCAATGCAAAAGGTTAAGCTTCCCATGTAAATCCAAGAGCTCTCACACCACTGCCATAATTTCTTGAGTTTATGCTGAGCAGAGCAGGTTTTCTCTGCATGACAAACAATAATTACAAGGGAACATTACCACGATATTCAAAAAATACTCTAAAACAAGCCTCAAAAAACTGAAAACACAGTATTACAGCTTATTATTAAACTGGCAGGTATTTCCCATGGTCTTTCAGTCTCATTTTTTAAGGTTTGTTCTGTATGTCTCTAAACAAAGTGAGAACACTGCCAATGCCAGAAGAATATCAGTTACAATTTTGCTCAAAGCAAGAAACCTTCTGCTCTAGTACCACTCAGTACTACCAGCTGCTGCTACTAGCTAATGTCCTACGTTTCATCAGCTGGACAACGAAGATCACCCTAGGAGAATCCCTCCATGGCATTACAAGAGTTAAAATTTTACTTATCACTCATAATCTGAATGCACACATATTTTAACTGGTTAGCCAAAAGAAACTGTAGGATGACTAGAAAAGTTTCTTTTGTTTCTAGCACAAACATAGCACAGCCACCTGGAGACTTACCTGCCAGAAGTTCCGAGACTTGGATCATAGAAATTTATGCCATGTTTCAGAGAGCAGCAGAGGTCCATTAAGAAATTATGAACAAGTTCTCGTACCATAACCTTTCCCACCTCTTCAGAATCTCCAGTTACCTATAAAACCCCAAAGGAATCAGAAAGACATACAATCTTCAACCTCCCATAAGAAAATCTTACATCAATTTCACTTGTACAGAAATGCTAGAAGATACAGTGGCTTTTGTTCAGATTAACACAGTAAATCTCAGTTTACTAAACACAGCAAATACGACACTATTCTCTGTTTCAAAAAAAACAACCCCTCCGCCCCAATTCAGGTATGAATTTACTATCAACAGGGCATTACTGATTTAGGGCTTTTTGGTAAGAACCTATCTAGATCAAGACAGAGAAAAGTGAAGCTGAAGAATAGTCATTCTGGGGCTTCAAAGTACAAGATCAAAAACCAAATCTGAAATACCCAATTTCCAACAATGCAGCCCAGATTCAAGGCAAGTAAATTCAGAAAGATTAAAAAAAAAAAAAAAAGGCACTGAATCTTCAGCATAAAGCACGTGAAACAAAGATTTTATGCTCTTTGGGCTGAAGATGGCAGAAGATGGAACAATTTTATTACAGGGCACCAAAAATGGATAGCTAACAATGCACTGAATATGCCAGCACTTGAGCAAAAGGGCGTGCAACATGAATGCCACCATAGTCATGATACACAAAATGGAAGAAGGGACAAAAGTCTCTATCAAGCAAAGGTGGAGGAAGGAAAAACAAACCCAGGTTATGTTCACCTTTTACATTCCACACAATTCAAGACTCCTATGAATGAAAAGTCCTTGGCGAGCTTTGTTGCGAAACTATGAACAACACAGCTTACAAGGGCTACATGAAATCACAAGAATTTAAAATTGTTCTAAACTGAAATGTATATGGAAGTACAGGAAGACTTTCCACTGCCTTGCCTCAGGCCTACAAGCATGCACATGTTGACAACAATCAAGAGGGGAAAAAAAGGATTACAGCATTAAAACAGAACAAAACAAAATCAATGTACCTATGAAGAGTAGATGCCAGAATGCCTTTAGCACAAACAATGCAGTACTAACACACACCTGCAATGAGGCCCTGATCCTTGTCTCATCTATGACTTTGGGAATGCAATTTCATGGACCAACAGAATCAAGAACAAATCACTTCCTAGAAACCCTGAAAACCTCTCTGACTGTGCAAACTTAAAATGCCAGCCACCATCTTGGGAATTTAGCTCTCATAGCAGATCAGTCTAGAGGAGAGAACTAAGGCTCCTGGAAGAACATTGCTCCCATTATATTCTTCTATAGAGAGACAAATATGTATAGACAGCAGATTACGGCACTCCCAGCAAGACCCTCATCTCTCCTTAACAGATCAGCACTACAGTTTAGGCAATAAGAGAAGGGAAACAACTCCTATTCTGCAAGTGGCAAGAAAAAGTAGAAAATCGAGGATTCTTTTTAAGTAATCTTTGCAAGAACATTCTTCTTGAGCTCCCCAATTTCTACAGCCTCAGAGAAGCTGTTCCAAAACCTGTGAGCTGCAGAAAAAAAACAATAAAAAACCCCAAAAGAAGTAGAAAAAAAACAACACAGAAAAGTGACTAGGAATTATGAAGAAACAAGTTACCAGACCTTGAAGCCCTCAGTGCTGACATCAGTAATGCCGTTCCACCGGTAAAGAGAAGCTATGTGATTCAACACTTCTGCGGTAAAAAAGCGCACCTTCTGAGTCTTCGTGATACTTTTATTTTGAACCACCTGAAAACAATGAGACAAAAACCCTTCTAATTATTGCAGGTCATCACAAAACAGAAAATAAGGGTAAATCAGGACCACACTTTGCTCTTCTTGTACACACAGTTCCCTCTTCTCATTACAGCAGACTGAAGTTGCTGCCTGTCCTTTCATCACATCTTAGGGACACACTCCCTTTTAACCTGGTTGCAGCCACATGACTGAACCACTTTCTGCAAACACGGCAGGTGCTGAACAACATAGAGTCCCAGTTTACAGCCTGACGCACAGAATACACTTAACCTAATAGAACCATAGAAATTTCAGACAAGTATCCTGCAACCTGCCAGTAGAGATGGTAAATTGTTTGCTAAATATGAAGTTTGAATGAAGGGGAAACGTGATCCAAGAGAGTGAGCTGGCAAAAGCTGATAATCAAATGAACCATCCAACAGGTGGAACCGGTGTTTCTGTGATGTCCAGAAACTAAACAGATATGGAAAACCTGAGAGACAAAAACTCCTCACAACTCCATATATCTGTATTTTTTGGAAAAATGAGTTTTGATTTGGCAGAACATAAACAGATGAAGTGCTATTTGCAGGTCTAAAGAATTTGAAAGGGTTACAAATGAAATCTTTAGAATATATGTTTCATAAAATCTTGTTTTCCACACTCATGATCAAAAATTACTAGTCTCAACACAAAAATTAGCGTAACCAAGAAGACAGGATGAATACAACACTAACACTGCAAAAGCAAGCACTGAAAAGCAAAGCGAATCTACCAGCATTCTTTCTCCTTCCTGTCTTCATTCTTCTGAATTCTTGTCTTTTGTTTTTATTATATAACCTCCTCTTTCCTTCACCCCATTAAGAAGTATCTTTGACTGCATTTATCTCCTGCAACAGAAGACTGACAGTCCTAACCATAGATAATAAAGCAGGACCACAGGATATGTCCACCAAGGAAGCCTTGCTAAAGACTGGTTGGGGAACAGTACTGCACACCCTTCAACTGCAAGTATTCCTGGAAATCCACTTCCAGCAAGAGTCCCCTTGCTAAAAGCACACAAAATTCTCTTGCTTGTGCATATTAGCACGCTTGCTACCTAGTTCAGACTTAATTAATCTGGGAGCTCTCCAGTTCAACATGGAGCACATAAGCTGAACCTGTAGTCACCAAAAGCAACCTCAGTCTTTTTGACCTTCAGGCTCAGAACTGATGCAATCACAACCCGTGACACAACAAGAGTGTGTTGGGCACGTTAGAACAAACTGAAATTAGCATCCAAATACAAGCTATGCAATGATTTAAGAGTGGGCATTAGAAAAACATTATAGCCTGAGTCCAGAAACAGTATTACAACCAAGCTATCAACCACAAATGTGTAACATCAGTAATGGAACCACTGACAAACTTCAGCAGCTCCACAGAGCCAACATCTTTAAAAGCTATATATTTTATGAGAAACTAGAGCAAAGCTGTTTTGCAGCAGCAAGGAAAATAGACAAAGCCATTTCAAAGGCATATTGTACCTTAGTTTTCAGCGTGGAAAGTAGAAGATTGACAGTAGATACTTTGTCTTCCTTTATTCCAGAACGAAGAATATCTGGAATGAAATCTAAGAACACATTTCAAATGTTATGTGAAGATGTGAAAGCTATTTTCACACTAAAATGCTTCAAGGAATTCATACCTTTTTCTCTTCGATGTCATATTATTTACCTTGCTGTTATATTTAAAGACAAACCAAAAGGCTGCAATCAGAGTTCAGAGGGATGATGTGTCTGCAACTACTATGATGAACAAGTGATGTTGTTGCCAAACCTACTCTCACTGCAACTACCTAATTTGCCAACTCAGATATTAACACTTAATGAAACAGCACCTATAACTTCAAACATATTTCAGGCTCCAATCTGCTAAGAGGTATTTAAAATTGACGTAAGCGACTATCCTTCCTTGAAGAGCTCACAATTGTTTCATGGCACCTTTTTTGAATGTTTTGGAGGTCTTAACCCCGAGCTGTTTGTAGTGCCTTGTGGCACACCTGTACATCCCAGAATTGGAGCACTTCAGCTTGTCTAGGTCAGGATAATGTAAAGCACTGTGCTGACAGGCCCCAGGTGTACACTGTCATTCGGTGTTCTCAAAGAACTGAACTGTTGCCAGCAATTAAAGGAAGTCAGCAGCTCTCAGAGCAACATAAACAACAGAAGTCAACAATTGCCTATTCTCACTACCTCATCATGGAATAAATTAATTGCTGTGAGCTAGCGGAGCTTCAAGTACTTCTGGATCCTTTTTGTATTCTTCAATGACCTCAGCGAAGGTCAAAATGCACAAGCTGAGAATCATGAGTAGATTTCACATCACTGAAGTCAACAGAAGTCTGACATTAACTTCAGCAAATAAAGAATCAAATATACATAAGATCTGACTCTCTGGATCCTATTCTTTGTCAACTTGACTCCATTTTCTCATTTTCTAGGGACACATAGGTATAACATAGTCTTGGCACAGCACTTCCATGAAACGCCTTTGTAAAAGATGCAAAAACCACTCCATTGGTTTTTGAATCATGCACTAAAAAAAAAAAAAAAAAGCCTAAGGGAATAGAGATGGTTGGGCAGTCCTTCCGCATGTGGATAGAAAAGAAACTAAGTATACAGTCTCTAAAACTAAAACTTTTATTTTTTTTCACTCTCACATGTCCACTATTACTGTATCATGAGCAAGTTTGGAGACCATGAAGTTTCTTCTGCTTACTGATTCTGTGGCTTCAGCATGATATTATATTTAAGACGTTTTGGATCTGTATCACCAAGAGTTTTCTGTTTTTTCTTTTTTGCAATACTTTTGTAGAGAGCAAATGTTATTCTTCACCAAAAAAGGCAAAAATTAAGATGCTTTAAGTCTAAAGCTTTTATTGAAACATGCTCATTAGTGCTATATAACTGGTACATATTTTGAATTAGCTTTTATATTTAAAAGATTCTGCCTTAAAACAAACTCTCTCTCTCTCTCTCTATATATATATATATATGTGAGAAATTGTAAAATACCTTTTAATTCCAGTACTTGTATCTAGATTGCACTGTCACCAGTGATTAAAAAGGAGAGAGCAAACTGGATGTAGGCCATACGGACATCAGGTCTTCCCTGAAGGGAAAATAATAAGCACCGGTAGTATACAGATTGCACACAACAACAAAGTTAATACTGCAGCAATTATTACCATTATAAACAGATATAGTAAACAACTTCCTCAAGCATGTTACCTATAACCACGTAGAATTACTTTTTTTTTCCTCCAAATGTGCAACACATGTGCAGCATATTCCTTAGAATAGCTTCTTAAATTAATCAGATCATAGTTTATTAATCTTAACATCAAATAGGAAGGTATTTTAGTCCATTCAGTTAATAGCTGAGCTAGGCTATAAACTCAGAAGAACAAAATGTTAACACCAGTTTCATTCCAAACCCTTGTATACAAAACACTGAGCTTCTTAGTAGAGCATCCCAGACACTCACTGCCACCTTCGGGTTGCAATGCATCACACTTTCCTTCAGCGATCCCTGTTCATAGAACTACCCACAGTGTGCAACTGAGAATGCTCTTTTTTCAAGGGCCATTTTTAGGCTATGATATGAAACTACAAATTCTGGGACACTGCAGCAAATGAAGCTTTTACTTGGAAGAAGATTGTAGGCAACAAACAAACAAGACTATAAAAACTTGGTATTTATTGTGGAAAAATAAATTGTATGTAAAAAATGCCCCAAAATACTACCAGCAGGGCTAAACATAAGGCAAAGATAACTTGCTAAAAGGTTGAAAGAAGAGATAAAGGAATTAGATTTTGCTGTAAGTCTGGATTTGACTTTTTGTATTAAAAAAAAATATTCTATCTGTGGAACTGTCATTTTAGTGAAAGCTGAGCCAAAGTAAGATATTCAAGCAGTGTTTGAAACTCTTTATTTTGTATCTAAAATTTACCTAATAAGCATGTGGTCAAAAGACACTATATCCCAGACCTTAAATTTAAGGGGTAGTGCCAAAAATTGCATCTGCAGCAAAGTCAAAAGAACATGACATTTGACAGTCCCCAAATTTTTAGATATATATGTATATAAAAATATATACATACATATATATATTAATAAATGTGTGTACATAAAATAATTATACACATCTGCTATTATTTTATTAATAACATTAGATTAATAAGAATAATGTTTTCCAGGGAGGTAGTGAGGGGCGGAGGAGAGATCAAACAGAAAGCAAAAGACCAAAACAAAGCCTTTCTCCCTATAACTTCCTTTAACAAACCCATTTGTCACTACATCTGGCACAAACACAACATTTATATATTTATTTTGCAAGTCATACTTAAGTAACTCAGTATATCAAATCTGTGTTTTTACACAGCAAGAAGCTTAATGGATTCTGACTAAAGATAAGAAACAATGTGTCAGCATTGAAAATGAAATTGAACTTAATATACACTTATATTTAGAATAAAACATAAATGTTCTTCCTAAGCATTCGCTTAGGTCATCCCGATTATTCTTAGCAAATAGAAGGAAAACAACAAATAAAGGTCATTTTGGAAAAAGAGGAGCGACATTTATACTCACTCACACATCCTCCTTGAGAAGTTCTGCCAAGAGAAAGTTTTTAATTGTCTGGATATATTTTCAAAAGCAGTAATTCACAGTGTACTAACACTAAGCAAAATCCTCTCTCCATTAAAACACCTGCAGAACCTTCACTAATTCCAGTGTGACTGAACTGCAATCTGTGCACTGGAATGAAGACTAAATCCTTAACATAATTAAATTTTAGAAATTCACTCTATTTTAGAAATTCACCATCACCTTCATTCAACTGGAGACATAAAAAGGACCGCCAAGTAGCCCATAGAAACCTTATTATTTGTATTTCTCCACAGTTCATTAGAAACAGACATTGTGACTTGATTCTGAGGAGCTCTGCAACATGCAGTTGACCTGAGAAACTCTGCATCCTGACAGGATGAGAAAGAGCTATATAGCACTTCATAGCACACCTGTAGATACCAACTTAACCTACCTTTTTATCTCGTTTTTTCACCAAGCCAGGAAGACACTTGTTATTGAAATCAAAATGGCTATACACATCTCTTGCTGAATCTGGCCCCTGGGCCACCATTGCTGACAGCAGGGTAAGGCACACTCGGCTCATCCTAAAATGAAAAGTAGAGAAAAACATGCAGTTTATTTCCAGAACAAAAGTTGTGCAAACAATCCTTGCAAGAGATTAAAACATGAAATCCAATTGCTTCCTGTAAAAGAAATTATCCCATTCCACCTTCATTATCCATCCTTGCATCTAGGGCTCTCAGGCACCAAACAGTTCTCCGAAGTTGGTACCAACATGAGAAATTAACAGAACAATTAGGCTAGTACCCCCAGTTGCACAAAGCTCTGGCTGTAGCTGATGGGAGCTTTAGTTGAACAGGCAACCAAAGATTTTAATACAGATACAGCACAACACAGATTTAGGCTAAACACACATTATTTCATTGTTCACATTGGACTTTGGTCTTACTTGTAATCAGTCTAGCTTTTAAAGACATATTTAATGGTTTGAAGCCCCTGTCCTCAAACACTTAACACAATTCAATTAGCTCTACTGCCATAAGCAGATCCACAGGAGACAGAGCTGAAACCTAAAGACATGAAGCACCAAAAATTTCACAGGAACTTTAGGAAAAATTTCTTAACAGTGAGGGTGACAGAGCACTGGCACAAGTTGCCAAGAGAGGTTGTGGAATTCCCTTCCCGGGAGATACTCAAAACCTGCTTGGATGCGACCCTGTGCCACATGCTCTAGGTGACCCTACATGTGCAGGGGGGTTGGACTAGATGATCTCTAAAGGTCCCTTCCAACCTCAAGGTTTCTATGATTCTATGATTTCTATGAATAGTATAGGCCTTATTAAGACTGCATTGGTTTTTGGTTTAGTTGATTTTTTCATTTGAAGTATGCAGCACAGAAACCATGTCTTTGTCATTGAACTAAATCTTAAAATCCATGCTCAGCTTTGACTCTAGTTCAATTCTCGCTCACTGACCTCTATGAGAATTTGCCTGAAAAAATGGGGAAAAAATGTTCAGGCAGTGTTAGCAGCAACTGGGAAGGAGGGAAGAGGACGAAGGAAAAAGGGAACACATACTCTTCCTCCAAATTAAACTGCAGTGAGAGGCTGGATATTGATTTTATTTATAAAACAGAAAAGTGCCAAAAATGAAGAACTCTCAAATCAGGATGAGTTTGTCATTTAGTTCAGCAGAAACATGACAGGCCCAGCATGTAAAGCCTTTACACATCTCTTATCTGAATAGCTGCTACCCACTAAGAAGTGTTTTGGAACCTGTGCATTATGCTTCACTCATTGAAAATTCTGTGAGAAAGCAGTATGACTGAATCAGAGATCCCATGCAGATCTCGCACCATAATAAAAGTAATTCTCTGCAACAGTTCAGGGAAAGCTTACCTGTGATTCTCAGAATATAAAGCAGCATAGACCAATCTCATGTAGGTATGAATCAACTTCTTGACTATGTTCATGCCCACAATGGAAAAATGGGAGAGGTCACTTGCTGTCCTCAGTAAGATGGCTTCCAGAGCTTGAAAGATTAACAGCATCTGTATAATTTAGAAATATACCTCATTTTATCTATTAACTCCAAATATCAGATACATCAGAGCAAATAATAACAAGTTTCGTTTAAAAAAAAAAGTTTTTTTTTTTGATTTGGAAAGTTTCCAAATCTGAAGATAAACTTAACCTCTGAATTCTCTCCCAAATTAATGTTTCCTCTTCTACAGGGTTAGTTCTAGTTTCTGTGATCCTAGAATATATATTATATGAAAGACCAGAGACCTACAGAAGGGCAGCTGGCTCCTCTTTCTTTTCAGGCACTCAACTGATGACATTGAGTAGTAGAGAAGGTCACCATCCTCAGTTGGAAGCCCAGGCCTCTGTGCTAACGGAAGATATCTAAAAACCTGGACAAACAAGCTAAATAAAAAAGAACCCTACTTCCTTAGTGACTTGAGACCTACTGCATATGCATGATTTACCTGCATATGTACAACAGTCATTCCTGGGGATGCAGAGGCTGAGTTCAATGCCAGTCTTAGCACATGCTGATGGATCCTGAAGGGCCTTTTCCAAGCTGAAAGCCAAGGCCTAGGCCTATCAAGCCAGTGCTGTAAGCCAGAACTGTTAGCAAGTGCACAATGAAACATGCTAGGAAAAGAGTATCTGAGCCAAGCATGTGGTTCCAGTCTTGCACTGAAGTTCTAGCTGAATCCAGAACCCAAACAGTGCTGGGACACTATTTGTTACAAGTACTGCCTTTTTCCGTAAATAAATCTCAGAGAAAATATTTATTTGAAGATGACTCAAGTTATTACAAAGACAAACATGGTGTTTGAGAATACTATAAAGAACACTATTTGTAAGAATAATTCTTTAATTCACTCATCATATTTTAAGGAAGAAGAAATTCTTTCCACCTCAGATCAGAGAAACAATGTCAACTTTACCAGTGGCTTCCTAGAAATACTGAGGTTTCAATGAAACATACAATTATCTAAAAACAATTATTTTTATTAAGGCTAATTTTTGATTTGTATAACTGTATTTATGCTTATTTTGTAAGGGCGTTTCAATAACATCTAAAGAGCCTTAACACCTTGATTTTGGCAGGTCTACTTGTCTTGCATTTCACCAAATGCAGTCGCATCCTTGCATTTGAAAGGACACTTCCCACTTGATCAAAAACCTCTGCCATTCTGGCTTGCAGTAAAAAAGCCATATTGAATCCCTAGCATTATTTATGATACAAAGGGTTTGTTTCAGTGTCCATTCCCCAGGCAGCACACACTGCGGCAGTGACTAGAGCACAATACCCATTCTTATTTACTTCAGTGAATACTTACTTCCCCCTCGGGCTTTCTTTCCCCATCCAGAAGCTTGAAGATTTCCGCACACTCCACCGAAATTTTTATATACCCTTCCACGACATCGTACACTTCAGCGGAGGGCAGCGTCTTAGCTACCGAGACGAACGTCTGTAGCCCTGCAACAAGAGAACGTCTCCTGAAGGATGTGTACGATACGGCAAAGCGGGCGGCCACGCGCTAGCGGCCGCGCTAACGGCCACGCGCCAACGGCCACACCACGCGCTAACGGCCA